AACTCGGAGCGAAGGCTGCGGTCCTGACTGCTCAGAGAAGAAAGCTGACTCCGCAGCTCTGATTCCAGCTGCCTATTGGCCTGCAGATCTACCTTCAGACGCTTCACATCCTGCTCCAGACTTCCAAACAAAACAACAACAGAAACTAGCATGACGAGGAGGCTACCAGACCCAAGACAACAAAGGCAATAAGAAATTTGAACAGTAGAAAAGCGTTTATCTTACCGAATTAAAGCATCGGATTTACACAACTGGTTGTTGGGAATGCAGTTCTCTGTAGGGTCCTTTTGCCCCTTCCCTGTGCCCTTCTGCCTCTTTTCATTCTTACTGCTTGAAGAAACTGGTGGCACACCGCCATTTGAAGAACAGTGATTCCTTGGAGACAAATTACCCACGAACCCACTTGCATTTCTGTAGTTTTTCCCCGTCCCCCCCAAATCATCTTTGGAAGTAGAGTGTGTGTTGATATCGTTATCTGTATTGTCTCCTGCTAGGTCATTATTCAGTCTCTTTACCCCAACATAGCTCTCTATATACTCTGTCTCCAGTGGTTTGGAGTCCAGTATGATACTGTTGTTATTGATTCCAATAGTGTTTTGTTTTTTCCCCTCACGCTCTTTAACAGTACAGTCCTTTACTTTTTCCCGGTACTCCAGTTCTGGCAAGGGGACTGAGGTAGTTCTCTTTCCAGGAGGTGCTCCATTTGGGATATCAATGAGGGTTCTACTTCTGAGAGTCCTTTAGTTAAAGCTGCTGAAAAAAGATAAATGTGGACAGCGTTAGAAGACGTGAAATTATAATGAATAGAATGTAAATCATTTAGAATGAATTAAAATGAATAATCATGAACCATATTCCAAAGAACATTTGACCATACAATGGATTGAACTACAGTCTGCTTAAAGAAAGAGAAACTCTTGACCCTCGTTGGTTTGGGTATTTTCACCTGTGGACAGCAGAACTCAAGTATAGATAAACATCTGCTGGAGGAAATAATATTTATGATATTTCTGTATTTCTGTATGTATGTTAAATAAATTATTTATTCATAAAAACAAATTATATCATCGAAATTTAAAATATTTGGTCAACTTATAACAGCTTGGCAGTCCTGGTCAACATATAACAACTATAACACTGTATGTAATTTGTAATTTCACACAGTAAATGCAAAGTCCAATGTATGTTACCTCAGCTTGTCCTTTTCATGTTGATGTTTTCACATCATAATACTGATAGTGGAAATCCTAGTCATCCTTAGTCCCTTCCCCTCAGCGTTTCAGAAGTTAAAATGTTAAGAATTTCATTTTGCATTTATTTCTTTTTTTGTCTTGTTGTATAATGCAGTGTAAGGCAGTAAGGGAACTACAAATACCAGCGTTAGTAGTTAAACTACATTTTTCAGTAGCATCTGTGTATTCTGAATAAAAACGCTGGTCTGGTCTGAATTCAAAATGAGTAGAAGATGCAGCAGACACATTTCTGGTTGACAGTGAAATCATTGTCTAACACTTGACGCTCATGATGTCCCTGTTGCTAGCGAACGTGCAGAGAGTTGTTTAGCTTCCTCAATCGTAGGGAAAGAGGTTCATTTTCAGTAGCTGGCCAAAACTATTTGCTTGAAATGTATGTAGAAAAAGCTCTTTATTTCAGTACAGAGCTGTCTAACTAAACATACAGAAATAGCATTGACTTTTATTAAAATTGGTATTTTAGTAATAATAAAAACAAGAACAAGTAGTGAAAGAAGATTTATTTATTATTATCATAATAATAATAATAATAATAATAAATAAAATGAAAGTATAATGATAAATGAAACTATATTTATCATTATATAGCAAACTACTTTAGCTGGGTTACTATAGCCTAGCTTGCAACATTTCTCTTCGGTATAGCTTTGAGGTAGTGAAGCTTAGTTGTATGAAGGGTAACACTACATTTAACTAATACAAAATGTTTAGAAATGTTTTATATTTTTTGAAGAAGTGTTGTATTTCATGCGTCTGTCTTACCCTCCTCTGCCTCCCTCTCCTGTCTCTGCAGCATCTGTTGCTCAGGTGGTAGCGCCTGCTGTAGTAGCTGCATGTAGAATTCATTCTCCTTCTGCACTTCCTTCTGTTTTCTCAGCCGCATCTTGTAGCTAACGTAGCTCTTAAAGCCAAAGCCCAGAGTCACCACAGGGTAGCCAATACTGTGAGGAAAGGAGAAAAAATTAGCTTTGAATGGAAGGCTATCCTTATAATTTTTGGTAATCTGTAACAGCTATTTGATTATGATATGTAGCTACCTATAATTTACATATCAAAACACAATAAAGGGCCTTGATATAAGACTTTACGGTGACACTACCAGTGAGCGGCAAAGGGTCGACATAGATCTACATGGAAGTTCTTCAGGTCTTTGAACCGTATGGCAGCCTCAATGTATACAAACAGGATCCACAGGGATACAGTGGGTAGACAGACTCCCCTTTCTGTGTTAGGAGACAATAAGGAAGAAAACATGAGCACTCTTGGGTCTAACAGGGAAATTGTCAACCATGGATTTCCTGAAGTCTTTACAAGGTGAAAAGAACTGGTTTTCTAGTAGGTATACATAACAGTCCATAGAAAACTTTAACTTGCCTGTGTGCCAGACATACTGGACCCATACATAGGTGCTGGCAGCAAAAAAAAGCCATTGGACAGGGATGAAGAGAAGGCAGATGGTGTCTGATGTAAATGCCACACACACGAAGAAGACAGAGAATGCCTAATTGTAGGAGGAAAAGACAAACAAATACATATGCACAGCTGTATCAGAAAAATACTTAAAAACACAGGCAGTATAATCAACTGCTGCTTAATATTTATCACCTGAAGCATAAACAGGCCGCTTTCAGTTGCCATGGTTTTCTGTACACAAGCGGAGAATGTGGCAGAACCAAAAAAAAGTGGCAAAATAATAATCATGGAAATTGGACTGCCAACTAGTGTTCGTAGGTGGAGTACTTTAGAGCTACACAGACACATCAATGCAGACAAGTCAACACTATCCAGCTGCAGCCCCGGAGAACAAGACCCCGGCCTGACCAAGACCCCGGCCTGACCAAGACCCCGGCCTGACAGAAGTGATAATTGATTACATATTTAAGTTACCCAAACTATAGAGCCTTCTATCTTGTGATTGATTCTAAACTGTTTAAGTTGGAAACACGTCACTATAGGGCATTTAAATACTCTCAAAGTTCAATTTAATGGGGAATTTAATGTTTTGTAATCACTTCCACTATTAGAAATTTCCAAAGACATCGTAATTTGCCGCAATTTTAGAATACACAATGCACTCAAACACACACAAAAACGTCACTTCTTTCAGGCCAGGGACACTTAACGGCACTTTTACTAGTCAAGTCAAATGAATACCTCGCTAACATTTCCAATTAAAACTTTACAGGTAGGAGTTGATGTCAAAAAAAAAGTTCTTACCAATCCCTGATATCTGAAGGAGTCGTAGACGCTACGAATGAAGAGCCAGAAGGGCCACAGATACTCAAACCTGAACTCCAGTACAAAGTCCGCCAGCAAAACTAACACCCACACCAGCAGAAACTTCAGGTACAGGAAGGTACTGTTGGAGAAGGCGAGATAAAGAAATGAATACATGGAGGAAAAACATGAACAAACAGTTATGGGATACTGAATGGGGTAGACATTAAATGTACAGACATCAGATTTAAACAGCAGTCGGTGCCTAATAAGGATCACGACTCAATTTTGATTGATTAGAAGATAACAGGAATTGTAGAGGCGATACCTATAGTCTATAAATAACAAAAATTCACAAACACAAACTCATAATAAAGCCACTGAGGCACCTAGAGGGCGAATCTTGCGCAGGATATATTAATAAATCCATTGTCCAGGTGATGATTGAAGGTTTTTGGGGCGGTTTATTTTATCCAGAGACATCAAGCGGGCAACAAACAACAACAAAAAAAGCTGCTCCTGCCATTGCATCCTGGCTTCCTGGTAAAAAAAAATAAAACCATTAACCCATTAGGTGCCTACCTGAGTCTCACCTGGCTACCTGTCTATATAGACACACCCATGTACAGACTCCACCCTTGTGCCCCCAAGTAGCAAAATAAACGAATGGAAATAACTCACATGAATGTAAACAATAATAATCAAAACATAATCTAATATTCAAATGTATCCCCAAAAATAAGAATATAGACTTTCACTTAATTTAGGAACAGTGAATATCTGTAACAGGTTTAAAAAGAGGTGGGATGAGGAGAAAGAGAAAGGTAGCTGGCATGTAAAATGTAAGTCACAGTTAGTTTCCTCTGCTGTCCTGAAGCAATAAGTCTGACTTAAAGGAAGAAAGACCTCTCAAAAAAAAAAAAAAAAAAAGGACACTAGGACACCGCCGGCGGCGTTACCCCGAAATAAAAACGAGTGCTTCTAGTGAATCCAGCTCCAGTATGCGTTTGTCACAAAATCAGCTGCATGTGTTACAATTTAAACTAGATTCTTAAGGACTTTCGTGTCATTGCAACATTGCAAACATTTGAATTGTATCAACTAGGGAGGGATTTATTGCACACACAAGTAACGTTAAAAGGCCTTTTTGGTTTGACAGAATGCATTTCAGCTGCTTCTTGTGCTCAAAACCCGAAGCGGGTGAAACGCAATTTGCAGAGGCTTGCAGACTTTCCTCGGTCATTGTTCCTCCCCTACCTGCTGTATATCCCTCGGTGATTCGGTTCCGTTTCAAGGGCCGTCGGAGTTTGCTGCAGTCCGCATTGCGCCGCTTCATCCTCCCCCCCCTTTGTCGGTTTTAGCTTTAATATCGCTCCTGGAGATGGAACAAGAAATGCAATTCGCTTTGCCCTAAAGTTGACGCTTCAATCATCCACCATTGTTGTTGTTTTAAGCACATGAACAAAGAAATAAATAAAAACACCCGCGGAAAGGCCCTCCCCCCCTTTTTTTTTTCACGACATTACGTCCCCCTTTGCTGGCGGTATGACGTCACACGACAGTCAGCGCTGGGAGAAGCTGAGAGAAATATGGCTGCGCCCTGCGGATCGAGGCATTTCCGTCAATTATAAGCTGTTTAACGTTCACGTTGTTACGGTAAGTTTTGTTACACCGATGACCTGCTTCCTCTCCTCGGTTTGACGTGATAACACTCCTGGTTCGTATTCAAAATGAGCTTACCTTCATGATGTCACCTGGTCCAACATGCACGCTGCCTCCACCACGTTTGTTTGGGAGTCATTTTACAAAGTCTTCTTTCTAGTAACATATTATGTATCCGATCTAATCACATGACATTTTAAAGTGGAAAAAGCATTTCCACAAGTAATATGTGGGTTAAATACGAATATGTTTTGGGGAGGGTTTGAGATGTGACGAGTTATTATCATTAGTCTACTTTTAAATAACTTTGTCACCAGAAGGGTTGTGGTCGAGCAGGGATGGGCAACTTTGGTCACTACTGACCCTACTGAAGACCACGTCCACCCTGAAGACACTCAGCACAGAAGAAAACAGTCATATTTACAATAAAGAAAGGGCCACATTCAGTTAATTCTCCCTGCCAAAGGGCCAAATTGTAGTATACAGAAACCCTCAATTATGTCTCCAATTTAACTCAACATATACCTGTGATCAAATATTATTATGGACGTATTTCTGGTTTTCATGATTTCACGGCAGATTTTGTCACATTTTCTTCATGTTTCCAATTCATTGATATGTAAAAATTGACCTGAGGGTTGATGGGGGCCACATGTGGTAGACCTTTAGTTGAACTATAGTGGAGTAACTCTATGAAGCTTAATTAATGTGATATGTTGTTATTCGTTTGTTTAACTTTTCTAGTGTTGGTTCGTTAAAAACAGTAGTAACCGATTTATATATATTTTTTTAGATTACCATGGACACGTTGGAGAAAGAGTTGCCATCTGCTGAAGAAAATGAAAAGCCTCAGGTGGAGTTTGAGAATAAACAAGGAGAAGAGGAAACTAAAGATGAGGAAGAAGAAAGTGTCCTGAAATGTAAAGATGTGGAAGAAGAGGAAACTAAAGATGAGGAAGAAGAAAAGTCTCAGGTGGAGTTTGAGAATAAACAAGGAGAAGAGGAGACTAGAGATGAGGAAGAAGAAAGTGTGCTGAAATGTAAAGATGAGGAAGAAGAAAAGTCTCAGGTGGAGTTGAGAATGAAACTAAAGATGAGGAAGAAGAAAGTGTCCTGAAATGTAAAGATGTGGGCGAGATGGGAGAAGAGAAGTCAGGGGTTGCAGATGAAACTGAGGAAAAAACCCTGTCACCTGTTCAACCGGTCGTCAAAAAGCCGGCTGAAGGCCTGAACCTTAACAATGAAGTGGTTAAGATGAGAAAGGAGGTGAAGAGGGTGAGAGCTTTGATCATCAGGAAGCTCACACGACAGATGGGGGCCCTGAAAAAGAAGAAGGGTAAAGACACAGAAACTGAGAGGAATCAAAGGAGAGCGAGCAGACTGCTGGAGGAGGTCCATGCCATGAAAGTACTCTCACCCGACCTGGTAGGTTTCGTAAAAACTTCTAATAATCATTTATTTCCACAAACATACAAATCTCAATTTAAAGAACGTTACTCTAATGTATGACTTTTTCTGAAAAGGTAAAACACCATCTGAAATACTACTTTCCCCAATTTTCCAGGTTACAAAGACGGCCCTGCAAAAGAATCTGAATTTCGAACAGGTGTGTAAAAACCCCAAGTCTACTATTTCTGACCGGGCTGTGGCACGCATCGCCACCCACCCTCAATTTAACAAAAAGATTGGAGACATAAAAATGGCTTTAAAAGCCTTCAAAGAAGAGAGGATGAAGACTGGAAAGCAGAAAGGGAAGTTGGAAGGGCAAAACAAACCTAGAAACACAACTCCAGGTTTGCCAGACAAACTGAGAGAAAGACCCGGTGAAAAGGAGGTAACATCGAGGCAAGAGGAAATCAAAGACGACAAGGAAGGAGATGGTGTGCTTAAAGACATGAAAGATGCAACTGTGCTAAACCTGAGAGGAAAGGAGTAAAGCAACTCATTTGGCTGACACAACTGATAGTCAAAGAAAAGAAATGCCAGAATATAAGTGTGCAAACTACCATCAATAAAAAGAAGTGTGGAAACTGTGAAAAATAATCTTCTAGGTCAGGATGCAGGAAGAAACCCGATCTTAAGCGCACAGCTGAGGTGCCTCAGCGGAAGAGAGATGAGGAAGAGAGTGATTTAGAGTCTCTTAAAGATGAAGAGAGAGAGTACTTCGATGACAGCACAGAGGAACGTTTCCTTAGGCAGTCCTCACCATCCGAAGAGAGCAATGACGATGATGACTTCTTCATTGGAAAGGTGAGAAAATTCAAGAAAAAGAAGAGGGAAGTAAAAGATGGCCCAACAGAATCTGAAGTTGTTGAGTCCAGGTTGAAGGCAAAAAAGGCCTTGCTTCAGTCTGTGTTCTGTTCTTCCCTCTCTGCGTCCAAGCCTGCAGTGGCAGAAGGTGCAACCAGAGGGAGATATGGGGATACATTAAGGGGCCAAGAGACAAGTCCAGTAAGTGATTTTAAAAAATCCAAGTACCAACATCAGGGGAAAGGAACACAATGCAATTCAGGGTCCAAGTACAAAAAGCCCTGCCATAAGGGCAGCCATCCTGAATCACAACAGAGCAGATGGGGGGGTCAAGGGAAAGGGGATGTTATTAAACAAAAGTCGCGCTATGACGGAGCTGGCCCTTACCAACAAGCACAAAATCAGACCCTGCATCCATCCTGGGAGGCCAGTAAGAAAAGGAAGGAGCAGCAAGGACAGATCTTGGCTTTCCAAGGAAAGAAGATCAAGTTTGATGATGATGACTAAACGTTGTTTTGTTTATCCATTATTCATGGGTTTAGTTCAGAGTCTTACTTAGTGATTCAAGTCAGCTTCACTTATTTTTGATAAATGTTCAAAACAAGTGGTTATCTCTGTCTACTTGAGAGATGTTTTCTCAAGTATAAAGTGCTGTTTCATCCCTCTGGCTTTCCAAGGAAAGAAGATCAAGTTTGATGATGATGACTAAACGTTGTTTTGTTTATCCATTATTCATGGGTTTAGTTCAGAGTCTTACTTAGTGATTCAAGTCAGCTTCACTTATTTTTGATAAATGTTCAAAACAAGTGGTTATCTCTGTCTACTTGAGAGATGTTTTCTCAAGTATAAAGTGCTGTTTCATCCCTCTGGCTGGAAAAGAGATTAAATATAAAACACATTTACATTAAAATACTCTCATTCCAAAAATATTGTTGAATTGTAAACTGTAAAATGCATCACCAAATATTCTGTTTTTTTTGTATTTATGATTAACACTGTGGTGTTGTGTAAGGAAAACTGAATTTGCCCTTTGTGTTAGAAACTGGTGAAGAATTGTAAAGTTAAGATATTAACTCAATTGATGTGTTTATAAAATGAATCAGGAATGTCAATAATGTTCATTATTCAACATGTTTTAACCAGAGGTCTCGTTCAGGTGATCACCTGAAGATTGAATAAACGTTTTGTTGAATTAGTATGTTGCTGTATCTTTCTTGTCTTGCTGCTTTTTTTTTAATTGTTCTCTCAGGTCAGCTAAACGGCTAACTATGGATAACATGTACCATTCATAAAATCAAAGCGGGTGCTTCATAAAAAAAATCCACCCCCCCTTACAGGGTGTGTCCACGAGGACAATAACTCATCAGACCAATTTCTACACTATCCTGGAGCTTTGTGATGATGGACCTGAGCTCTGATGATGCACACTGTAGATACAGACAGGCAGAAAGTGACATACTTCTCACTTCCACTTCATACTGCAGCAAATAACATAAAGGTGAGCAGAGCCCTCAGCTTGAAAATCAGCTGGAGAGATATAACAAGTCACAATATAAATGCAGTGTGCCATTTCAAATACATTTTGTAATGGTCCTAAATAACAGTGACACATCATGCAGTCAATGTCGATGTGAAAACTTGTTCGTATAAAAATAATTACAAATACAAGCATTTGCATGACTGGAAGGTGATGAAGGCAAATATATATTTTTAATGATCATTATACACTTATTATAAAGTATTTGAAACACATTATTTTTGCATTTCAGCATGAGCATACCAACAAATAAAGTTGAGTTTGGTGCTACATAAAAACCAACAAACCTGAACTGCTCTTCTGCTGTTGCTTGTTTGGAGATCGACCAGAAGTGGTTCATGCAGGCCATGACTGATGATTGGTCTTTCACTGCGTCAGCCTAATTATAAGATGAGAGCATGTGCTGCTGGGAAATGTTCTCATTAAGTTTGAACATGTGAAAATATAATATTTAGAATGCAAACAAATGAGAAAACAGTTAAGTAAGAACTAGTTTAAGAAAAGCCTCACCTGGTGTAACATTTTACCCAAATTCTTTTTGCAGCATGCCAGGGACAAAGTTTGATTTATAAAGTCAAATACAGTTCATTACAGGGGCTAGATAAAAGGTAGACTTAGGAGAGAGAACATTTAAGTGATGCTAAAATGCTCATCTGGACAGATCTTTTTTTTTTTTTTAAACTCTGTTTCCAAAGAGCGTATATTTATGGACTAGGTCACAGAAAAGTTGTGTATACAAACTACCTTTCATTATATTACCTTTTAAACATCAGCTTTCTCCAAGTATGGAGAAACACAATTAATATAGTTCCTGAAAAGGACAGAGTTGATAGGCAGAATTTATTGTTTTATTCATTTATTTTATTTTGATTATTATTCCTCGTTTGTGTGTGTAGGAATACATAAAAATATAAATATCATTATTGTTTACCTAAGCCAGAGTTTCGATCCAAACTCCAGTTCAGCAGGTGGCGGTAATGCACCAATAAGCTGGTCTGCAAACCGCCATATAAACTCAAAAGGAAGAAGTAAAAGAAACTTTCAATCGAAGAAGAAAAAGAAGTGTTTCTAATCCAGCTCTTTGGCATTGAAGTCTGTTTAACGGACTGAAACTGCAATTTAGAAGGTATTATTATTTGTTTTCCACTGTGCAATCTACAGTTATAGAGTGAGGGATGGGTTACCCCAGATATCCAAAACATGTCAAATCTAAAGTGTAATTAATTGTTTCTAAATGCATGCAGGTTTTCTATTTTTTTCTTTTTTTTGCAAGTGAATCCAGTGGATTCATAGTTTATACTGTAGCATTGCCACAACTCTTCTCCCTCTCGGCCACATTGCAAGCTGCAAGCTGCAAGCTGAAAGCCTGGTTTGTGATTTGGATGTTCATGCTGGTTTCTTTGACTCAGGCTGGAGCTGGAAGGCAGTGATCCCCAGGAACCTCACCATGATGACGGCCTCTCAAATGACAAGGAGCCAATGGCCTCTCAAGCACACAATGCAGGTAAGAGTAAGACAATGTTTCTTTCTATGGTAAACACAATGCAACTCAAACCTTAACCCTACAAAAACAACAGTACTGATATCCTTTTACTGTAATAGTAGAACAACTTGTACCATATTGTTTATGCTGAGGCTCTGGCAACCACAGCTTGCGAATATTTTACAGTGAAAGAAACAGTTTTTCCATCATTGTTTTTTTTTTCCAAACAGCCTGTAAGCATGTCTACACATTGCTAGGTGCTGAGAACTTGAAATACTTAAAGGGATTTTAATGGCCAGGATTACTTCTTTAAGATCACAGAAAACTTGAACACTCATGCATGAAAAATCGAGCTGACAGGGGAGAGTGAGGCGACGTATTTAAATTAGTTAATGATAATAAGGAAGATCTGTGAGAATGAATTTATTTTACATTGGTCCCATATTTTATCCCTCTGTCACTGTTATGCTGTGTACACACCAGATGGGAGAGAGTGTGCAAGAGAGTGCAGACGTACGCACCCTAACAAACCTTCCCTCTCGACTCCTGCGGGGGAGATGTGCACACAGCAGGTAAAGTGGGCAATGGTAGCGTCATAAAGTTTGTCCGTTAGATTTCCGCTCCAAGAGAAGTCCTTTTTCGATTGATATCAGTGCCAAGGCTCCGAGTCGATCCTGTCCCGTTGAGAAAATCCGCTCAACGGAAGAGGTGGATACAGATGGATGGTCAACACCATAAACCTGCTGCATGCTCTCAGTCACCTCCTTCTGTGTAAGAAAATGAAGCAGGTCCGCTGAGCTCCTTCCCTCAAAGTTTGACATGTTGTACATGACCGTCAGTTCAGTCTTCAGCTTAGGGAGACCGAAGTGCAGCCTTTACTTCTCCCCCAAGACTTTCAAACTCAAAGTTGGGGAAGTTTTCTTCTTCTTTGCCGAAGCACACAGCTCAAAAATTGACCATGCTCACCCTTTTTCCAGCTTCCGCTACCGATTCGATGACACCAAAATCCGTGTGGGAGAAATCCCGCTATGACACTTCACTTGGTTTCTTGACAAGGAGATTTGCAGAGCTGCTGAGGAGATCCTCTGATGGGGTATTGGACCTTAACCTTGTGGCCCAGGAGCTTAATGCCCCAAAGAGGCGTGTCTATGATGTCACTAATGTCCTTGAAGGAATCCAGCTAATCAAGAAGAAGTCTAAAAACTACATTCAGTGGATGTAAGTATGAGTGGATGAAGCTTGTAGTGCAAAGCTTGCAACTGTTGTGACCTAAAATGCAGCTTAAAACTTAAAATGCAACTACCAATGTTTTATGGCATTCGTTAAAAGACCTTGATAAAGAATGTTAATGTTGCAAACAAAGTGAATGTTAAACAGTTACAGGGATCTTCTTGTATTCTGGCTACTCAAAAGTGCTTTTACACTGCAGGTCACACCCATTCAAACCTTGATGGGAAAGGCTCCTAAGTATAAATCAATTAGCTTATCCTATTCATGCACATTTATAGGCCACCAATGAAGCAGGGGGAGCAACTTTGGGGATAAGTGTCTTGCATAAGGACACGTATGTTGCTGCAGGCATATTGAGAAAAGCAGTAAATGAACTCGGGGGAAAATTTGTAAACTGTGTTCTGTTGTTTGTTTCTCAGTTCAGACTATTGTATATATTTTTTTCCATACACAGTTTAGTGAGCTTGATGTCTTGAGTTATGTTTTCTCCTGTGTTGACCCTGTATTGCTGCTTTGATTTGCCAACCAGGGGCGGTCAGACCAGCGCTCAAATGGATCAGGAACTGAATGATCTAAATGAGGAGGAGAAGAAGCTGGACGAGTTGATACAAAGCTGTACGTGGCAGGTTCACCAGATGTGTGAGAACCATCAAGGTCAAAGATATCCTTTTATTTGTCAATTCTGTTTAACTTTGGACAATTGATGTGATGCAAATTCAGTTAGGTCAAATAGGTGTACCCCAATTGGGTTGTCAAAATTATTATTGAGGGCTCTATTGGCCAATCACCAAAGCCAGTGTTAAGATTTTGATGGGCATATGACAAATGATTTCCTCTGCTATCCTCCAAAACTGTTTTACTTAAAATGACAGTTTCAGGTTTAATCCTAATCTTCCATTGTTAATTGTAATAATTGTATATTCCTTAACATCAGTGATCACATTTGCATATTTGACTTATGAGGATGTCCGAAGATTACCAAATTTGGAAGAACAGACTGTGATTGTGATCAAAGCCCCTGCAGAGACCAAACTGGCGGTGCCACACCCAGAAGAGGTAAACTTTAATACATAGTTAACTTATTTTTTACATTTTATTTTTTGTAATGTATCTCGGACATTAAAAAAAAAAACCACATCTGTCACTGACAAAGGGCTGATTTAATGTTTGTGTTTTGAAATAGTGCAGCATTGACTTCAGCTATTTATTTATTTTATTCAAATATTCTAATGACATTTTCTTGCTCTAAGTCTACTGTTTACGCATAATCAGAGACCATGATGTAAACGCTCCTTTTGCTTCTTGTGTTCAGAGCCTACAGGTCCACCTTTGCAGCACACAAGGGCCCATTGAAGTATTCCTCTGCTCTGACGACCCCGGCGTACCGATGGAAGACACACTTGGCCCTTTAGTAAATTGCAGCAGCTTAAGCTCGACCAACGGTAACTGCTCTGCCCCCTTCTTGCCTTACTCATCCTTTTGAGCAGGTCTCTTGCGGAGGTGCATCTTTCACTTCACAATCACTTGTGTCACCTCAATCAGGCTGGTCTTGCTAAACTGCCTAAGATAACCTGAGAAGCACCTCAAGTGTTTTTTTTAAACAGGAACAATGAAATATTCTGTTAAAACCCTACTTTAAGATTTTAAAGTTTATTATGCTCTTTTAATTCCCCCCTGTGTCTCTTTATCTACATTTCTATTATGTTTCAGGCACTGCCTACTCTACCTCTGGAATCAACAGTATCTGCAACCCGCTGTCCGCGACAACAAAACACTCGTCACCAGTCTCTGACCGCCCTGTTGACACAATGACCATACCTCATGTTTCCCCATCTGAAGATGAGCAAAGTTTTGTCTGTCTTACTTCACCTGTAGCCTTCTCTGTTGATGGAAAGGAGTATTTCCTGAGCCTGGCTAAGGATGAAAACATCACTGACCTCTTCAACTCTGCTAACTAGAACAATCGACCCCCCTTCTGTAAACCGCTGTTTACAGTAGAAAGGACATCCTGCCACATACACATCATCAAGGGCAAACTGAAAAACAAAAACATATTAATAATGTAAATATGTTCCTTTTTATATTCACTTTTGCCTATCCACAACAGTTCAACAAGGATTTATTGACACTTGGGTATTTTGTGCTGTTGGTGTTTTTTATTTTTCAAAAGTGCTTTTGACAAACATATCTGCAAGCCCTCCTTAAGTGTCTCACAATGTCTGGGCTTTGAAGTCTCAACACAGGGTTACTCTAGACCCCTGTGATGGTTTGAAAGACTTTTCAGATGACAACTGATCAGGATCACAAAGAAGTTGATTTTGACTCCTCTCCAAATGGCCATAATCACAATCACCTACTACGCTCTTTACTGATCGGTATCTTGTATAACCAACCCTACAATACATGAATTATCAACTATTTTCCAAGGTAGCTTCTTTTTATATGCTGATATGCCACATACAGTATTCCTTTGTGTATCTGAACAGCAAAGCAGTTGCCAAGTTTTCTATATCGGTTTCTTTGTTATTGTGTATAAAAATGCAGTAATTCACAATAGAATATGATTTCCTTGTTGTTTTACAGCAGTTATGTTGTTCTGCACATATAAACACACTTTTGGTTGAACATAGCTGGCATTATGAAGTACTGTTTTGACTGTTTGGCCTTCGTTTTCTGCTCAGTATACCCTGAGGCATCTAGAGAGAAAGAGAAGTATATAACGAGGGATCTCTTTGATAACGGTTACATGTGCTCAAAATGGGGCCTAAAAAGGCTTGCCTACTTCCAGAGTAGTGATCTATAAAAACATACTTTATGGAAAAATAAACACACATAGAAACTACATACATACTTTTGGAGGCATTGGCAACACTAATGGTGAAGTGGTAAATTAAAATCAGTTTCTAAATGAATGTCTGTCAAACATTTGATATGATTAACTATGAAACATTGAAGACAGATCTCAGACAAATATTCAAAGTTGCCTTTTTATTTATACTTGTGTATTTAGTGAGTTGTATTTTCAAAAGCACCTTTCAGTTTAAAAGGGAAAACCAAACAACAAACTGTGGCTCAGTGGGTAGTCGTTAACTCCAAACCAGAAGGTTGGGGGTTTTGATCCCCATATCTACATGTCCCATGTGTTGCTGGGGAAGACACTTCACCCCAAGTGGCATGTGATTGTGTATGTATGGGATTAGTTACTTTTGATGGTAACTTTCCATAGCAACCTCTACCATCAGTGTAAAGTGCTTTGAGTAGTCAGAAGACGACAGTAGATAAGTACTGATTCATAACATAAACCCATAAATTGAGTATTATTCAAGAACACTTCTAGCCTCAAAGTTATTGTTGCCTAACATGTGAGCACCACAGTAAAAGGATATCATATTTCCCCAATCTACCTTATTTTGACACGTAAAGATGTAAAGGCACTATAACACTGTGAACTGCAACTTTACCTACTGTGGCTCAGTACAATCAACTATACTACTTATTCATCACAGTATAACACCAAGTCACTTAAACTTCATGGATATCAATCTGTCCATTTAGAAATCACAAGTCATTGTAATCAATCAATGATTTGTCATGTCATTTTCTGGACAAATATTCTACAAAGTACACCAGTAAAGATTTTCAAATTGAATAATTAGTTTATCAAGATCTGATGTTTGATTTAAGTGTTACCTTATTTTTTTTAAGTTAAGATCCCAGGCTGTTCTGAGCTTGTTCTCCATCCATCAGTGTGGAATGATACTGAACCCCAAATCGCTTCACAAGGCGTAGTCTTTAGTGGAAGTGAGTATTACATTCTTAAGTGCACAGTGCTCTAAATGGTCAGAAGACTAGAAAAGGTATTATTTACGGTATAACAAGACCCAAAAATGTAATTTTTTATGTTTAAAATTATTTTCTTTTCCTCCTTAAGTACAGTATTATTTAAGTGCAAAACACAAACTATCCACAGCATCTGGAGCTGTATTCATGAAGCCTCCTAAGTAAGAGTTGCTGTTATTGACAATATGTTAAGAACATTCTTAGAATCAGGACATTTTCTAAGAATGTCCCCTTAAAGTTAAGACTAGATCCTTATAAAGATGAAAGTTATTCACAAAGAGAGCTCCTCAGGTGTACAACTGTTAGGAGTAGTGAGGAGGACTTTTAACAGACTTAAGAGTTTCTCAAGCTGAGGAGAAGACATAGAAATGTTCTTAAAAACAGGACATGAAGAATATTATTGAATCATAGTTGTGCCAAACAGCCAAACAATTATTTGTGCAGACATTTCAAGCCAACAACAATTTTTTCTCGTCTGTGCATAGTGAGACATGCATGTTGACTTCTCTGAATGTGGTTACCTTTACAGGTGCATCCAATCACTAGTCAAGGCTCTTCACACGATGTAACGATCAGCATGTGAAGAAGCTGCTGCACCAGTGGACATGTGATTTCAAACATCTTGTAGGCAGTATCATTTTAAAGTAAGTCTAACATATTATCACACAGATGTTTATTTCATAGTGTTCATAATTACATAATGTCTGACTAGATTCTATGATTTACTTTTTTTCTTCATTTTGTTGGATCAACCAATCACAGCTTCTGAAAAAATGTGAACCTAGCCACTGTAAAAAGGCACAGTGACTGTTTTAAATAGTACTTCTCAAGATCCCATTTGCTCAAACTCTCAGTAAGTAAATGTGTCACCTTATATTCTGATATGATATACATTTTCAACACAGTTAAACAAAAGTAAAAGCATAAACAATCAAAGACACGTTTGCAGTATGTTGCAGTCAGCCAAAGAAAGTAAAACAAACAACATTAAATCTGAAAATGTTATAACACAAAGTCTTATTAACTTTCTAAAAAACTTTATGCTTTCCCAGAGCTGATGGTAGAAATATCTCACACTGACCCATCTTGCTTTCTTCACTATTAAGAGTTGTATATGCACAATCCTGATCAGGCATCTTAACATGAAAAGTTTGTAGTAATAATATGACAACTTAGTGTTTCATAATGATGTGTTAAACAAAAAAACAATAGGCCCACATTTGAACTTTACACTGACCTTTTTTTTTTCCCAGCAATGAAAAAATGATGCTTCCTAGGTTTCAGTTCCCTGTAAAAGGATTACTGGGCATCCAAAATATATTATTCTTGCAGAACCTTCCTGCATGTAGGGCTGTTACAATATAGTCACTATATACACAAACAAAGAAATTATGAAAATCCCTGTAAACCAAAAAAATATTTTAGTTTTTTTGTTTTTTACACCAAAGAAGAATGTATTATTAACCACCAGGTCAAATTTCAGCAACGAAAAAAAACGTATAAGTTTACAAAATTAAGCTTCAAAATCATGAAAAATTTAGCCGTTTGTACGTGTAGCAACTTTCCATATATAGTACGACAATCACAGAAACTATTTGTGCTGGTCAGATTAAAGATGGCACTGCCTTAAACGGGTGGCATGGAGTGGAGGCTTGTAAGTAACACAATTTGGCAACATATCTAAGCTGGATGCTTTAGGGACTCGACATAATTTATAATAATTTACAGTACTTTGAACTCAAACTCTTGAGCTGTCTAACTTGCAGAAATACATTTATCGGCGATTAAGTCCATCGCAAGTTAAACCGTGTGCACAATATTTTCTTGGAAATTCGTATGTGAAGGGAAAAACATTCATTTACAGCTGAAAGCACAGAAACTAAGACAAAATTAACTTGTAAAGAAAATGATCAGCAGCCTGTAGTACCGCCTCTGATTAGCCAAACAGCCAATTATAGATTTGGATTCTGGGTTGGCAGATCAGATGTCAAAGGGGGGCCCATGCCGCCCGTCTGGACACACCCCTGCATGTGAACGAGATAGTTTTTGGTGCTCCCTTGCAAAATGTTCACCGCAGTGATAGAAGATCACGTTAGACCAGAGGGCAGAGAGAGACACATGAACCAAGTCATTTTCATATCAATCCAAAACACCATTTATTAAAACACCACTTTAAACCAGTTAACGTACATAAAATATTTTCTGATATTGTCTTAACCCATGACAGTCATCAAAGATGCTGCAGCTGCATCCCGTTAGGTTCACTGCTCTGTGCTTCGTCCAGGGATTGAACTGTAAACAGATGCTAAAGAAAGTAAGGTCACATTAACAAACCACCCAAATAAAACTGAAACATATTTCCTCCTAGATCTTACACTATGAAGTAACTTTGACTTTATTATAACAATGAACAGCTAGAGCTCTTAATGTGAGACAGAGGTAGTAACACATCAACCGTTTCCACACGTGCAAATGTCTTGACAATTTCCCTGCCCCTGAAATCTTCCTGAGTTGTTCGTTCACACATGCACCTCAAAGCGAAGACTATCCTAGATTGCTTGCATGCAGTCTGTGGTCGTGCGCCTGCGTCGGGGAGTAAACATCTTCACCCCTCTTCCACTCGCTGGAGATGAATATCCCTGGGTTTTTCCCGCGGCGATCACACATCATCTCGCCCCCGGCTCACATGCAACAAAAATTAAAACGAGGCTGGCAGGGAAAAAAAAAAAAGTCTGTTTGCGTCCACACATGCAGCTCAACCTGAAAATTTCAGGAGTTTTTGTACGAGTATGAAAGCACCAAAAATGTTTTAAGTTTAAGTTAAAACTTCAGTGACGTAGATTCTCGTTTTTTTGTTTCATGGTTGTTTATATGTCTGTGTACTTTACAGATATTTACTCATTGACCGACGTATCACAAACACAGGACGACATTTACAAAAATATTATTATGTTTAGTGACGGAAGACTTTATAGAAAATATAAGTTTGTTGAAGTTCTTTAGTAAAGAGTCTCATCAGACGGGGCAGTACGTCCTCCAAACTGCTCTCCATCTCATCCTCTGAGCTCATCATCCTCAGCCCCTCGTCGTCCTCCTCTCAGCTCTTCCTCCTCTCAGCTCTTCATCTTCCTTAGCTCTTCCTCCTCAGCTCTTCATCTTCCTCCTCTCAGCTCTACATCTTCCTCAACTCTTCCTCCTCTCAGCTCTTCATCTTCCTCAGCTCTTCATCATCACCTTTACGAACTGCTGCTGAGTCGTCGTCGCAGCAGAGAAGCTGGTTTGGTTTCTGTGTCTTCGGCATCACTTTCACAGTCCCTCTGCAGACACCAAAACATCAGCTCAGTTGAAAAGAAACCCAATCATTACAAACCGCATCAAGTCACGTTAATAACGCACATTTTATGAGCACAGGGAGAAAGTGACTTCTCTTTTTGTAGTTTTTCTTCAGATGAAGAAATAAAAACATTAGATTCAGTGTCTCCTCTTCAAATCATTTTTAAAAGTTTAACAAGAATGTGTTTCTCTGATTAAAGTTTTAAAGATTCAGTTTATTCAACTTGTGGCCCTGGGGCCTGACGAGGTCTCACCTGGAGGGGATCCGGGTTGGAGCTTTTACACAGTAGCTTCAGGCGGACAAAGCGGTTACACATCCACACCATGTTATAGGACATCTGAGGGGGAAACAGCCAATAATACGATTCATATTGTTATGAAGAATCAAAGGAATGCTGCCAAATAGCTCTTTGGGATAAACAAAGCAAAATCATGAACATGAGGACAAACCTTCCATTTCCTACGGGCGTTGAACTTTTTGAAGTTCTTCATGTTGATGGATGAGCGATTCCTTTTCGTCGCCTGAGTACGAGTGATCGGCTGAAACCAACGCAAAACATCTGATGTCAGTTTGAAAACAAACAGCACCAAGAGACAACTAATGAAATGATAAATAAACAGGAGGAATCAGAGTCGGTTACACAGAGTGAGAGAAAACAGGATTTAAAGCTCGGAAACATTCAGCAGGTCTAAAACGAAGAAAAGTCGTCTTTACTTTGATCCAGGGATGAAGAAGACTCTCGTCGGCTGTCATTCTCTCTCTGAAACACAAACAAGACACAAATGAAGAGAGCAAACAGCTACACAACAATGAGATATAACCAGTAACATCAAGTCAGTCTATACAAAAAAGTATCAGGGCCACATTAAGTAAAGATTTAGAGAGAGTACCGTATTTTCCGCACTATAAGGCGCACTTAAAAGCCTTTAACTTTCTCAAAAAACGACAGTGCGCCTTATAATCCGGAGCGCCTTATATATGGATCAATTGGTTAATTGGTTGATCCATACTGGTTGTACACGGCGCTCAGCGACACTGACTCGGATAATGACGAGAGGGAGCCGGGCATGTTGGATGCCGTACTCGCCCAACTGTTCAATTCGGACACTGAAGAAGAAGAATTCGAGGGATTCGTGGACGGGGAATGAACTGAAAAAGTGAGCTTTACGTGTTATACGTAACTGAACAATGTTGAGTTATGCACTAACGTTTGAATTAGCGGTATCAGACTGTGTTTCTTTTACGTGTTTACAACTGAACAAGGCTGGGAGATATTGTGAATATGCACATTAACGTTTGAACAACGTTGAGTTATTGTGAATGCACTACGTTTTATACGTATTTATATTTATATATTCACAATATCTCCCAGCCTTGTTCAGTTGTAAACACGTTCTATTCTATGCGCCTTATAATCCGGTGCGCCCTATATATGAAAACAGTTCTAAAATAGGCCATTCATTGAAGGTGCGCCTTATAATCCGGTGCGCCTTATAGTGCGGAAAATACGGTAATAAAGTCATACATTTCGAGATTAAAGTCGTCATTTCAGTCTAAAGTTATATCAGAAGAGCAGCAGCTGCACGAGAATGAGGAACGTGGAGCATCTTGTGAAGTTTAACTTTAGTTTCACAAATACTTCGCGTCAGCGTCACATGGTCATGAGTATCAGGACCCTGAAAAGATACTTCAAGAAACTAGAGCTTTTCTGGCGAGAGAACCAAACTGACCTGGAGGAAATGGTCTATTTTGTGGTTTTGAGGGTTCCCCTTTCATCGTTTTAACGCAGAAGTTAAATGGAGTTGAAATGAGCAATCAGTAAGATGTGTAGTGACTGAAATGATAAAGTGATCTTACTATATGATCAGACATTAAGGAAACATGCTCTGTTGAAGTGCTGGCTTCTCTGACAACAATGCAGCAGCCAGTATGTCCTCCTTCTAACTTTACATTCTGCTCCTGAATGCTCTGGATTTGTTTGGACCAGAGAAGGTGGGCGCTTTTAAGACACCCCCCACACGGCCGTTTTGGACGCCCCTCGGTTTGCCAGATATGAGAGCAGTTATCAGGTCAACAGGTGTTGCAGCGATGGAAGCGGGCAAGAGAAGTGGCTCAGATAGAAGTGATTGTACCCGACCTAAAAAGCCTCTGCATGTTTCTAATAAACTCCACGAGCAGAAACGTGCTCAAACTAGGATCAATATTGGAGATGCTTTTGAAAAATGGAGAGAGGTTAGAACGCAGAAAGGTTTACAGAGCCATGCAGAGCTGGATAAACACTGAAGCTTCAGTGTCCACCACATGGCAACCTGCATGAGCATCCACTCTAGAGAGGAGGGCAGGGGACACAGCTCTCTACAATGTTTTGAAAATGGACTGCAGTACCCATTTTAAACACTAGGTGACAGAGTTACATATTGCTCCTTTAACAACAAAACTCTCTAATATCAAAAACAATCAGAAATGGACTGATCCCAAAATTCTTTGTTTGGATGAGTTCCATTTTTGTCTCATTGATTACTTCAACATCCTTCTCACCTTGGATCTTTGACCAACAGTTTCTGGATGAAGTCTTTGGCCATCGAGCTCGTCGTGCTGAAAACTCGATCATCGAACTCGTAAGTTATGGCGAGGATGTTCCTCAGAGTCTCTTCGTCTGTGTAGCCTTGAAACGGTGACAAACCACTCAGACTGAGGACACAAAGGGAGAAAAACATGTGTCATCCGTTATTGTACTCTTCTGAGAGGAGCGTCACCTGGAGCCAGCGAGGTAACTTAAGGGTGGCTCACTTCTTACCCGGGGATAGGTCGCCTCTAGAGGGGGGGGGGAAGGGAGTATTCATGTAATTAAAGGAGTTAGAGGAGTAGCCCCCCTAAGCTGCCTCGGAGCGGGTTTTGAGGGTTAAGAGCTCAAACTGTACGAATCTACTGACTAATCAGATCTCTTGATCGTGGAGGCGTGTGAGCTGATCGTAAGTTGCGAGGAGGGAGCGTTAGCATGTCAGAAAAGAAACACACACTCACAGTATGTAGGTGATGACTCCGATGCTCCTGTCGAAGAAACGAACACAAAACAGAAAGTCAGGAGAAGATTAAGACACTGAATACACACACACACACACACACACACACACAACACACACACAACACACACACACACCACACACACACACACACAACACACACACACACAACACACACACAACACACACACACCACACACACACACACACACACACACACACACACACACACACACACACACAGTCTGACTGTTCAGTTTGAATGTGAAACACGTCTGAACTCGTCTCTGACTGAAGAATTTACTCTGTGGTCTGTGTGTGTGTGTGTGTGTGTGTGTGTGTGTGTGTGTGTGTCTTACCACATATCTGCAGCTGTACTCAGAGGTTCACTGTTGATCACTTCGGGGGCTGAAAGAGATCGGGGTAGTTCAGTTTAAAAACGGCCCAGACCATCTCTTACAGAACTTTAAAAACACGTTTTAATCCTCGATAGAACGTTAACATGATTTAAGCGTATTCATCATAAAATTTAAATATCTTCAAAATGACAATCACTAATTTAACATGACGTCATTTTTACAAGTTAATAAATCTGTGAATACAGAGACGCAGACGGACCTGATGATGTCATAGATGTTTCTAATCGGCTCTTTTTAACTCAAAAGGATCAAACTGAGATGTTTCTATGAAATTAAATCTTTATTAAAAACATACAGAGTTAGCAGGGAGTTCTGTGTAACACGGCGGGGTGCGTGGTGGATGTGGGACATATAGGGGGGAGTGTGTTCGTTGCCGTGGTGACCCTCTTTTGATATTTATAAAGGATCTCGCTCTCCTGTTTAACTGTTGGTTGTGAATGTAAATGAAGAGCTGTCGATTCTCACCGATGTACTGCGTTCCACAGGTGCAGAGTCTAGTCTTGAGGTGAACACAGGTCAGAGTCTCAGGTGAACACAGGTCAGAGTCTAGTCGTCAGGTGAACACAGGTCAGTCTAGTCTAAGGTGAACACAGGTCAGAGTCTTCAGGTGAACACAGGTCAGAGTCTAGTCGTCAGGTGAACACAGGTCAGAGTCTAGTCGTCAGGTGAACACAGGTCAGAGTCTAGTCGTCAGGTGAACACAGGTCAGAGTCTTCAGGTGAACACAGGTCAGAGTCTAGTCGTCAGGTGAACACAGGTCAGAGTCTAGTCTTCAGGTGAACACAGGTCAGAGTCTAGTCTACAGGTGAACACAGGTCAGAGTCTTCAGGTGAACACAGGTCAGAGTCTAGTCTTCAGGTGAACACAGGTCAGAGTCTAGTCTACAGGTGAACACAGGTCAGAGTCTAGTCTACAGGTGAACACAGGTCAGAGTCTAGTCTTCAGGTGAACACAGGTCAGAGTCTAGTCTTCAGGTGAACACAGGTCAGAGTCTAGTCTTCAGGTGAACACAGGTCAGAGTTCTCGTTGTCAGGTGAACACGGGTCAGAGTCTAGTCTTCAGGTGAACACAGGTCAGAGTCTAGTCGTCAGGTGAACACAGGTCAGAGTCTAGTCTTCAGGTGAACACAGGTCAGAGTCCAGTCTTCAGGTGAACACAGGTCAGAGTCCAGTCTTCAGGTGAACACAGGTCAGAGTCTAGTCTTCAGGTGAACACAGGTCAGTGTTCTCGTCGTCAGGTGAGTGTTTTCAGGTCACCTTCAGGTCGAAGTGAACGATGTTCTTGCTGTGCATGAACCGCAGAGCCTCCAGAATCTGTTTCATGAACTCGATGGCTTCACTTTCTAGAAGATTCTCCTTCCCAGCGATGAAGTCGAACAGCTCTCCTCCGCTCACTCTGAAACAATAAATTATAAACCATTACAATAAATATAGACATCAGATTTTGTCCCTTCAGGCTCTCCGTAGATAGTCGTCCTCAGCTTCTCCCTGTAGTCTCAGTGATGTAAAAGAAGGACACTGCTGCATCTTTGAATGTCTCATTTCACTTTAACAAACTCTCAGACAGCTCAGCTGACGAGTCCAAAGTAATATCCACCTTATGACATCACACACTGACCTTATGACATCACACATTGACCTTTGTTACCGTTCCTTTGAGCTGGTGACATTTACGAAGTTAATGTCCTAACCTTTGCTCGACCATTCTCCTTATTTTATTTCACAATAAAAGCAGGTTTGTATGCAAACAGGAAGTATTGTTTGGTTATAAATAAAGGATTTCAAAACAAAAGCATGACAAAGACTGTTTTCAAACATGTGATTAACTATTGACATTCAGCGATTAATCATGATTTAAAAATGGAATCGTAAAAAAAAAAAAAAAAGCCCCACTAAATATTAATATAGGGAATTTTAAGTTGACAAACAATACACACACACACACACACACACACACACACACACACACACACACATACACACACACACACACACACACACACACTCACAGCTCCAGGATCAACACCACCTCCGCTCGGCTCTCGAACACGTCTCGGAGAGTCACGATGTTTGTATGTTGAACCGCCTGCAGGATCTCGACCTCGCGCTCCACGCCGCCCCGATCCAGACCCAGGAGACTGCACGGACTCTTCTTGATCTTCATGAACTTTCCCGCCCAAAGAGTCCCAGTGGAGCGCTCCCGCACCTGCCGGACCTGACCGAAGTGCCACTGAATCGGGTCAGAATCGGAATATTGATTATTCGCGGAAATGTTCTGATCACACAGTTAAAACTAAACAAATGAATAAAGTTTTCTTTTCACACATCCGAGTCGTTCTCACCTCCCCAGAACTTCTCCCATCTCATAAAAGTCTTCCACATTTTCAGGTTTGAAGGCAGCCATGTTGGATCTCTCTAATGGTCCCGACAGATTATCTGAAACTGGACTTCATCCTCATCAGATCGTTAACTCTTTCTTCATCATCATCATGAGAACTTTGACTCTTCATCCTCTTCAGTTTGACCTGAGAGACGGACGACAGAAAAATCCACACAGTTTTTAATCCAATCATTTATTTAAAGAAGTAAATGAGACGAATACATTTTTTTTTAAGTTCAATCCCGATGAAATGAAAAACACATTTTTAAAGTTTGAATCCAGCGTTCCTGTTAAATGTTCATGTATCTGCCAATCAAACATTGTCTGAGTATTTTGACATCTTCAAAGGCCTGATGACTCACCCTGCACCCCTTCTATCTAGTGATTGGTTCTATCCTGAAATTAGATTTAAATACTTCAATAATAATCAGGCCTAAAATCATCTAGAGTGTAGCCAGCTTCACACGTCTGCAGCTCGACTTCATACTTCTAAAATCTACAGGATTAAATGATGGATTCAAACAGATATCGATTATTACAACATGACATGTCACTCTCCCCGCCTGCCTCCTCCACTTTTGCTTAAGATCATATTTACCTAAATTTCTGACTCAGACTCAGTGGTGCTGCACAGCGGCTGACACGCACACGAGAGCTCAGTTTGTCTGGTCGTTAAAGGAGCAGTATGTAGCTCTGACACCTAGTGTTTAAATTCTAAACATTGTAGAGAGCTGTCTCCCCCCGCCCCCTCCTCCTTAGAGTCGATGCTCACACAGGTTGCCATGTGGTGGACACTGAAGCTTCAGTGTTTATCCAGCTCTGCATCGCTCTGTAAACCTTTCTGTGTTCTAACCTCTCTCCATTTTTCAAAAGCATCTCCAATATGGATCCTAGTTTGAGCACGTTTCTGCTCGTGGAGCTTATTAGAAACATGCAGAGGCTTTTTAGGTCGGGTACAATCACTTCTATCTGAACCAGTTCTCTTGCCCGCTTCCATCACTGCAACACCTGTTGACCTGATAACTGCTCTCATATCTGGCAAACCGAGGGGCGTCCAAAACGGCCATGTGGAGAGTGCCTTAAAACCGCCTTTACCTTCTCTGGTCCAAACAAATCCAGAGCATTCAGGAGCAGAATCTAAAGTTAGGAGGAGGACATACTGGCTGCTGCATTGTTGTCAGAGAAGCCAGCACTTCAACATAGCATGTTCCTTAATGTCTGATCATATAGCAAGGTCACTTTATCATTTCACTCACTACATATTGCTCCTTAATGTTTGTTTTGAACACCCTTTGTTTATCTTAATGTATTTCTAACACGGCATATGCGTGGAGTATTTCTGCCATCATCTGGATGTCAGGACAGCTGCTGCCGATTTTATGGATTATTTTAAAACGTTTCATAAGAGAGTCTTTCATTACCTACAGGAGGGAGGAGCTCTGATCATACAGTATGAACTTGGCACAATGCACTTTATTGAATTAAATGTAAACGTGTGAGGTTATGTGAAGTCCTTTACTGTTGTCGAGATCTTTTGTCACTCTTGACTTTATGCTCTCTGGGCGATAAAGGCTTCATTCAGTTTAACTTCATTTGACAGATTTCTGCTCTAAAAATAACTTCAGAAAAACTCCACTCATGCACAGTGAAACCGGTGTCACCACCAGAGCTTCCACTATGATGACATGACTTGACACACAGGTACATCTCCACCTGTCATCACTGAGATTTCCTCATAGCTGCTGAACTTCATCAACTTTTACAGCTCATGAGAAATGTGTTCCGACGCCTGAGCCTTTAAGTTTAATAATTCACACACATTAATCTGTAAATCTGTGTCACACTGCTGCTCAGCGCCAAACCGTCACGTTGGGATTAGACGTTAAAGAGTTGATCTAATTAAAATGGCTAATTATCAAATTTGCCACACAGGAAATGTAGGTTTTTTGTTTCCCTTAAGGAAGCACGCTGAGGAGCTGTATTGCACTTTTGAGACGGTCCCTAAGTGTGCCTATGGGTATAGGGATAAGCAGGCTGGACAGACATCTGGTTCACTGCGCTTTCAACAGCATCATCATCATCTTTGACGTTTTAAGAGTTGAACAAAAACTGGGAAATGCTTTTGCAAATCTGCTCTCTTAACACAGTGCCAAAACTAGAATAAACCCAGGGTTCAATGCGGAGGTGGTCAAGTGAACAGCAGCAACAACAAAACGGAGAATGTGAAATATGAAAACAACTTTAACACACAGAGAGAGAACATGAAGACAGAAGAACATTTATATTAATCAAGAGGGGAAACGCGAATATTATAGGAGACATGGGGAACACGCAGATATGACACAGAGGAACGCAGATGTGAAATAGCCTCAGGGAAAACACGGATATTAAATAGGAAAACGCGGATATTGCATAGAGGAAAACGTGTGTGTTATATGGAAAATGCAGATGTTATACAGCGTATGGAAAACGCGGACATTAAAGAGAAAAACGCAGATATTACATCCTGGGAAAGCGCGGACATAGAGCCTGCACAAACACGGACATTGAAGGAGAACTGAGGTCTGAACGTGAAGTTGGAGGAGGAAGCGTGAATACAAGAGAAAGTCACCTCACATTCCGGCTCTGATGCTCCGATGAACCGCAGAGTAACCCCATGGACGAGATCCTGGTCTGCTCCCGATCCCAGTCCGGACTCTGTGTGTGTGTGTGAGTGTGTGTGTGTGTGTGTGTGTGTGTGTCCGTGTGTGTGTTTGAGGAATGCGGAACAGACTCACAGTTTGATGTCATGTCCGATTCGCCGCTTAGAGTTTCAGACTGGAGATGCGTTCACGGAACTCCCACCTCTTCAGTCATTCCTCCACCTGTTTCACAAGTCTCAACTCCAACGCTTGAGACAAATGCGCATGCGCCACATGATCACCGTTGACTAATACATGTAAAAAAAAAAAAAAGAAAAAGAAAAGATTTCCGGGCAGTGGTCAGCCTTAAACAAAAACGGAATTATTAAATAATACATGTTTATTGTTGTTTTAAAATGTGTAAAATAAAAATGTCAAAAATCACTGAAACAGTCAGAACTAAGAATTATGTCAAATAAAATTAAATCTCATGATTAGTATTGTAAAATCAACTAAAAGCCAAATTTGTGAGAATAACATTTTAATATAAGCCTTTATTTCTTCTCGGAGTGTCAGAGCTGTGGCTGTGAAATAACCCTGAAACTCTCAGCTCTTTTAAATCGAGGTTGAAGACTCACCTGTTTACAGCTGCCTTTCATTAAACAACTTTAATAAGATTTTAAATTTGCACTGTAACTTTGAACTCTTTATATTTTTACTTTATTGATTTCAATTCATTTCATTTGAATTATTTTATTTGAACATATTTTCAGATTTAATAATTTCTGTGATTTTTCAATTTTTAATGTTTCTTTTCTTTCCCTCTGTCATGATGCTTTTTGATGTCTTGTGTGAAGCACTTTGAGTTGCCTTGTTGTTGAAATGTGCTCTATAAATAAACTGGCCTTGCCTTGAAACCAAACACACACTGTGAATGTACAAAAAGCTGAAGCTAAAGCTGATGTAATAGTCGACACCTCATCATGTAAATACTGTATTATCATCCTCCACACTGTTTAATGTAATTGTAAAAACCCTGTCCCTGTAAATCAGTGGTTCTCATCTGGGCTGGCCTCAGGACCAAACTCCTTAATAAGAAATCACGACCCAAATGTCGGATACTTTTCAACCGATGAGATTTGTTTTATAAAAAATGGTGCAGTTTGGACCTCACACTGTAGTCATTTTTAAGGGCGTGTAGTGGTGGTTGGTGTACGGAGGCTGTGGTCCTCCAGGCAGGCGGCCCGGGTTCGGGTCCGACCTGTGGCTCCTTTCCCACATGTCGTTCTCCACTCTCTCTCTCTCTCCCTAAATTTCGGATCTGTCCACTATCCTATCTTGAAAATGAAGGCACAAAAGGCCCCAAAATGAATCTTTAAATCAGTGATTTTTTAGACTTTTTGACACTTTCAGGACCCACTGAGAACGACTCCACGACCCGCTTTTGGGTCCCGACCCACAAGTTGAGAAACACTGATGTTAATGAAACCCATCTTTATTAGTCATAATAATCAAATATTTTGTTATCATATTCATTTCAGCATTACCCGCCCACCGCACTATTGTTTTATTTACATTGTTAATATTTTATGGTATACTTCTGCACATACAGAGCTCAATTTACTTTGTGTGTGTGAGCATACCTGGCCTCTCTTGTGCTCCCTCCAGGTGTTTCTATATAAATAAATACAGTCTGATGGTGTTTCACTCTTTGTGTAAGAAATTAAAGCTGCTGTAAATTCATTAGGAAACAAAAAACAAACGTTAATATTAATTAATCTGAACTAAAACTCAAACTCATCTGTAACGACTCTAATCCAAAAACCATAAAATGTGATGAGGGCAGGATTCATGACATGTTTGTTAAATGTTTATAAAGTTTCACAAAGTCACCTCAGACAACTTTAGAAAAAAACACCTCGATTTTATTAGTTTATCTCAAAGATCCACAAACCGTCTCCTGACTCCTGATGTCAGAGTTCAAAACAAACGATACTTTTTATTAAAGTAACACAACACTACATAATCATCACGTGTTAGAGTAATAAACAGTTTCTGTTTACAGACATGAAGAAGCGACACACACACACACCTAGAGGTGTGTGAGCGTGTGCGTTCAAAGTTTGATTTGAACTCTGAATGTGTTCACATTAAATCAAATCGTCACTTTATTGGTCTCTGTGTTTAATTCAACTTTCACCCCAATATGGGTTATTAAGCTCCTTGCAGACCCCCCGTCCCGCACAACCCTCAGCCCTCTACCCAACCCCCTCAAAAACCCTCAGCCCGCCCCCCCTCAGGCGTGTGACATCAGTTCTTCTTGGCCTTCGGGGAGTCATACTTTCTCTTGCTGGAGTACCAGAGGAGCAGCGGGATGCCGATGGAGGGCAGAGTCATGACGCCAAACGCAGCCCAGTCCAACTAAACCAGAGAGAAAATAAAACATGGAGGAACAGTCAGAAAATACGTAAAACACAACAGTCCCTATTCCTTATAAGTCTTTATTGACTGAACCCTGAAGAGAGACAGGAAGTAAGGGAGGAGTGAGGGGAGGAGATAGAGAAGGTCAACTAACGGCCGCTGCATCAAGGACTTAACAGGAAACAGAAACAAACACTGACACAGCCAGAGAATCAAACATGGACACAAATATTCAGAATAAAACTGCTTCATATAAACACACCTGATACGATCCGTGCCAGTCAGAAAGACATGTTCATTCTGAACGAGGGGATGGATAATGGCATTTGTTATTCCGATAAATATCCATGCACACACTTGATGTGGCCTTGTCTTTGGCCGTGTGGTTGAAGTAAAACTATTCTCACTGCGTATGTGTCTGCCTCGCTCGCTCATGTCTGGGGACCCTCCTACACGACCCCCCTATTTATAGATTTCTGGACAAGTATGAACTGCTAAGCTTGGAGATTAATTCGAGAAACAGTGAATAGAATCCCTTCCAGCACACTATGTAGGAACTTGTTAGCAAAGAAAGAGAAAAAAATAAATCCAAAGTCTCTGACACAGTGAGGAGGAGCAACATCTGGAGACGTTCAACGACTGCAGCGTTTGTTTACAACACGTGCAGAAGCCAAAAGAATAATGATGGGGGAATAACCATACAGCAGGGCATCAGTTCATCTTGAACTCACTCTGGAGAAAAGCTTTATTGACACACGCACTCCCATTGGCAGAAAAAAATTACTGAACTTTTCGTACTTTATCAAAGCCAGCGCAATTCAAAGTGAGATCAAAGTCTCACATGTTAGAGGACTTAACAGGAAGGAACAGCTTCTACTTCTGCCGTTTCTGACTTAAAATGAAGCCTGTGGGTGTTGACGGACGAGGGAGCACGGAGCCGTACCGGAGTGGAGGTGACAACCAACACAACACAAACGTATCTGGTGGAAGTTCTGGGTGACAGGTACGACCAATGGGACAGCTCTGCGCATGTCAAAATGGTGTCCTGATTAAATGCTTGATGCATGAAGACACACGTGAGGGAGTGAATCAAACACTCACGTAATGGGGGGAGAAGCGGCGGTCGAACTCCCTCTGAGCCAGGATGCCTCCCTGTCCGGGGGCGCTGGTGTATCCAACCTGCAGGACAAACAGAGAAGTCAGCTTCACTTTTACACTGATTCTCTTTAATAACTAAGTGGTTAATAATCTGGTTAACAATATGGTCTTACCACAACCTGCCCTCCCTCCTGGGCCAGGTAGCTGACAGAGGCAGAGGTGAAGTTGAAGTACCCGGCCTTTAGGGGGCGCAGCACCACGGTGTGAGAGACGTTACTCGCTCTGAGGTCATCAGTTAAATCAAACATCAGGAGTTTAAAAACTAAAAGCTGTATTCACGCTGTGAGGGTTCTGTTTACATCACTGAAACACCTGAGCCCCCTGACGAACAGAGAGAGAGGTGTGCTCGATGACCCGTCTGAAAGTTAAACTACCTTCAGTGAGTCAAACATGCCTCCAGATCCTGACAGGTGACAGGAAGTTAAGACTTTATTTTAAAAGGATACGGAGCGATTCTGTCCCACTTGACGTTCAACATCCCTGAAACAATCCCGAAGTCCTCAGGTGGAAACGAGTCATCAGACAGCTCCACCTCCAGAGCAGCACTGAGAGACAGACAGGTAACACAGACACAGATAACACAGACACAGATAACACAGACACAGATAACACAGACACAGGTAACACAGACAGGTAACACAGACACAGGTAACACACAGACAGACAGGTAACACAGACACAGATAACACAGATAACACAGACAACACAGACAACACAGACACAGGTAACACAGACAACACAGACACAGGTAACACAGACACAGGTAACACAGACAACACAGACACAGGTAACACAGACACAGGTAACACAGACACAGACAACACAGACACAGACAACACAGACACAGACAACACAGACACAGGTAACACAGACAACACAGACACAGGTAACACAGACACAGGTAACACAGACAGGTAACACAGACAACACAGACACAGACAACACAGACACAGATAACACAGACAGGTAACACAGACAACACAGACACAGACAACACAGACACAGATAACACAGACACAGGTAACAGAGACCGACAGGTAACAGACAAACACAGACAGATGGGATACAGAGAAAGCAGAATTAATAACATTGAGTCTTTATACATTACAATAAAGTTATAATGTTATTAGAATATAATTACCAGTTCACTTCATTTGTCTGTCTACTCGCCGTTATATTGTATAGTTTCTGCTTATAATATGTTTACACTCATGCACTTTAACTTATGTCAATACTGTCCATTTACAACTCTGTTTTCGCACTTTTACATTTAATCTTTCATATTTAATTTACAACCATCTACAACTCTGTTTTTGCACATTTACATTCAATCTTACATATTTAATCTTCCTATTTAAGACTAGTAATGCTTAGTTAAATCCTGGTTGTATATATTCACATTCTTAGTTTTTATATATTAGTATATGTATTAGTATATATTTTTAGTACTTATTTAATTTGTATTTAATATTATATTGTGTTTAGATTTGCTAATATTGTGTTTTTTTACTCATATTGTGTGTTTGGATAACCTGCTGCTGTAACGCCACAATTTCCCAGTTTGGGATCAATAAAGTAATTCTATTGATATAACATTATAATGAAGTTATAATGTTATTAGAATATAATTACAAGATGATATAACATTATAATGAAGTTATAATGTTATTAGAATATAATTACAAGATGATAAAACATTATGATGAAGTTATAATGTTATTAGAATATAATTACAAGATGATATAACGTTATAATGAAGTTATAATGTTATTAGAATATAATTACAAGATGATATAACATTATAACGAAGCTCTCACCTGGAGCCCACATTGTAGATGTTGTACTGCAGCGTCAGGTCTCGACCCTCCACAGCATATCGGTTCAGCAGAGACTTGGAGGCCAGCAGACGAGCCCCCTCCTCTCCTGAACCCAGACCCAGCAGAGCCAGGACCAGAACCACGTTCAGCATCTTCATCATCTGGAAACAAAGAGAAGAGATGGACCACATTAAACAGAGCACAGATCAGGAGACTCCGTCAGGTGCAGAGGTATAGGTGAAGAGTACAGTTTTACAGTGATAAACACGTGAAGGTAACACTCAATACGTTTTTATTTTACATTATTTGCTCTGTGAAGAAAAGGTCAAAATGCTAAGTGCTAACAGTTAGCTTCAAACGGAGATAGTATTACAACACGTTTAATTCATATTTTAGATGTACATTTAACTTATAATACCCACGTATGTATAGTTTAAGAGTGTTAAAAAGCAGATATGAATTATAATATTTAATGTTATTGAAGTATCAGCAGCTCTCTGTTTGACGCTGACGTGGACAGTTCACTGACATTTACTGTTAATTATCTTCACAATAACCTCAAAAACAGCGACAACGTCACAAACGGGTGCATTAAATGATCAGATGTGTTTGGCTACATAGTTATAGCACATAAAATCATCACATTAACAGCGGTAATTACAGTTTAAACACACAGAAAAGGACAGAGAGTTACCGTTCACTGCTCCTCTTCAGACCGCTGCCGTTGAAGGAGTTGGTTTCCGCGCATGCTCAGAAGGTTAACGCTGCTGTTTGCATGACGTGTACTTACGGAAGTGTGCAGACAGCGCAGCGCCCCCTGGTGTCCCGGAGCGGAACTGTTTCTAATCGTTTATTATATGTTTTTACATTTTCTTTTCTTTTTTAAATATATTTCTGCTGATCGTGACATCTGAGTGTTGACATCCTGTATTAAACAGGCCTATAACAATAATTATGATAATACATTTTATTCATAGGCGCTTTTAAAGTAGAGATAAAACAACAAAGTAGCCTAATAATACAAATTTATAGTGTAAGGCTATACAATCATTTTGAAGATGATTTGAGAGACAGGATGGATAATGATCAAACAGAATATGTCAGTTTAAAAAGAAGTGTTTTGAGATGACATTACAAAATATAGAGAGATTCAATGCTGTGGACGTGGTGGGAGGGAGTACCAGAGGCGGGAACAGCGCTAATGCCTTTATGTAGCCAGACTGTATATGGGCAAATAGACGCCTAGACTCTAAAGAAGACCTAACATTCATGAATATGAGACTTAACTTAAAATCATCTGAATTTAAACAATCTCTATCTGTCCCACTTCTTCAGAATTGCACTGTTTGTTTTATTTACCGTACATCAGATGATCCTCCCTTTATTTGGGACATGGCGTCAAAATGAGGAGGGCCTTTAATTATTCTCAAACAAAACATGTGCACAGCAAATATGGTAAATACTATGAAATTGTACATCTTAACCAGAAAGAATATCTAGACATGTACAAAAGTAGGATACTGATGAACAATATTAACTTACAAATCACTGATTTGATCTTTCTTTGTTAGACACCGTATTATCTGCAAATTAATACACACTAAATGCACAGGGGCCTTTAACTGAGAGCTGCTTTTATTGATCAAAACGTGCAGAAACATCAGGCTAGTGAAAGAGATTTAGCCATTAAATTGGAATAGACTTTTATTTAAAGTTTTACCGTAGTTTAAAGCCTTTACATTCAGACTGATTAAACTATTTAAGCAGACTTAAACAGACGAGATTCCTTTTTTCTTCCCACTCAGAATCATCTCCTGCTGCCTAAAATAAATCCTGTTTCTGAGTTTTTATCTACTTTAACTTGATGAATGTTGAGCTGCACTTTGTCTCTTTTATCAGATGATGAACTTACAAATACTGAAGATTTACATTCTGCTGGTTATCCTTCTTCAAACAATCGTCCCTGCCACGTCTCCAACTCGTACAAACCGCTGCAGCACGTCGGATAACTGGGAAAAGGAAATTTGACAACATTGCACCCACGCCTCTCTTCATTGGCTTCCTGTCTGTTTCAGGGTTAGTTTTTAATGTGTTATTGATTATTTTTAAGGTTTTAAATGGATTAGCACCTTCCTGTCTTGGTGATCTCCTGCACCAACACTCACGAGTTAGATCCCTTAGGTCAACAAACCAACTGCTCAAGTCCTGAGAACAAGTCTTTAAAAAGAGTCACTGAAGACGCATCTCTTCTCCATGGCCTTTAACTCAAGCTGACTTTGACTCCTCTTATTAATTTCAGATTGTACATTAATTTAGAGGAACAAAGATGTCTCGTTCAGGTCCAGCTGAGGTCAGATCAGGACTCTGTTAGTTTGATGAAACCCGCTCACATGAAGCTGTATGCAGGTGTTTAATCACTCCTGTCAAACTGTATGGCAACAAGATTTAAAAAATGATATTTGTTTTACATAGGAAAAGCCCTCCAGATAAAACATTGCAGTTAACAGATTCTGGATGAGTCGTGATCATCAGTTGTGATATTCTGCCACCAGGTGGAGACAAACACCCTCGTCTGTTTCCTGTTGGAGTCAGACACACACACACACACACACACACACACACACACACACACACACACACACACACACACACACACACACACACACACACACACCTGTGTGAGCTGCAGACAGCCAGGTTTAATCTGATCCACAGTTTCTGATGAAGATGAAGAGGAGGAGCAAGAGGGGAGCATGACGGCAATCAGGCATGAGGATGAAGACGCAAACAGGTTTGAATCCTGACCATGACTGAGCGGCACAAATAGAAACATCAAGATATAACTGTTTCTGAATATCACTCAGATTCTTTAATCAATAATGAAACATAACAATAATCATTCCCTCAGTGGAACAAGTCAATTAAACTGTTAACGTGTGTTTGTGTGGGATCAAAACTTTAAATAAGGAACATTACACTTGAATTATTTAAAAAAAAAATTATAGAGCTGACTGAATGTAGAGAAAAAAATCTCAATGAATGTAGTAGTTGAAGCTCCCCAACCCCCACCTACCTTCAGGTGCTGACCAGGTGTACCTCCTGTGTTCCCGCCCTGATTCATTCATAAAGCTCTTTACAGTGAAGAGTATATAAAGCTGCAGCTGCAGCAGGTGAGTCACTCTTCAGGTGTCTTTCTGTCCCTGACAGCAGCTCTCAGGTCAGACAGGTGAGATCCTCTGAGATCAGACAGGTGAGATCCTCTGAGGTCAGACAGGTGAGATCCTCTGAAGTCAGACAGGCGAGATCCTCTGAGATCAGACAGGCGAGATCCTCTGAGATCAGACAGGCGAGATCCTCTGAGATCAGACAGGTGAGATCCTCTGAGATCAGACAGGTGTGAGACAGGTGTGCATCATGCTCAGTCCTGCAGGTGGACTCTGGCTCGTCTCGCTCTTGCTGCTGCTGAACACGTGCAGCTCAGCTGTTCACAATGACGCCACAGAGTCCATCAGTTCTGACCCGGTTGAGGAGACCCAGGAGGACCCGGTCCAGGAAGACTTGAACCAGGCGAGGAACGGTGGGAGACGGTCACCTGACCCTGTGCAAACAGGTGAGTCCAAACCATAATGTTTACAGTCTTTGGTTCAAACTGTGACACAGGGGACAACATATATGTCATATTTCCAGGATTAGTATTAATGATGTCACTCTGAGTGTGAAACAGGTGGAGGAAATGTAATCCCTTTGTTAAGAATATGAAAAAATACTTCATAAATTTCATTTTAAATATAAATTAAGAAACAATAACATCAATTATTTATTAAATCATTTACACAAAAGTGTGCTTTATTAAGAGTTCACAGCAGGTGAGGTCACCTGCAGGAACAGATGCAGAACACTGAGGACAAAACTGACATAAAGATTAATGATGATGACAAAACCTAATAAATCAAATTTGGCTTTACATTTTACAAATGTATTAAGTATAACTACAGATTCACTTTAGGTGAGTCAATGTTTGGAGGTAGAGCGTATTGTCTTTAAATGTAATGAAACTATTTTAAGGTTTGTGTTAAAGTTAGTGTGACATACAGAGAGAGAGAGAGAGAGACAGAGAGAGAGCGAGCGAGAGGAGTTCAGTGTGTCCTGTCCCCTGGCAGTCTAAGCCTATAGCAGCCCTTGCTATAAGCCTGACCCAGCCCTAACCTTTATCAAAAAGGAAACTTATGAGCCAACTCTTAAAAGTGTAGAGTGTGTCTGCTAGTGTTGTAGTGAAGACCACGCTGACCGAGACCAGATTGCTGGGACAAGACCAGGACACTAGTTTCTGCCTCCCAGACTGGTAAATGAGTCCAAAGGAGAGGGTCCTGATAACTGAAGGCTCTACCTCCCGTACTACATTTAGAGACTGTAGGTAGCAGGCCTGCATTCTGGGAGGGGTAATAAATGGCCCCATGAGCTCTTTAAAGGTCCCATATTATGCTTTTTCTGGTTTTATATGCCCTTTAGCGTGTTTTCCATGTGTCGTGTGCATGTTTAGGCACAGCTATGTGCAAAAATTCAAAGTCAACAGAAACACGGCTTCTCCTACGTCCTCCTGTTAGCTGTAGCATTAGCCGCATGTAGCGCTCATTGCCAGTGTGAGATCACTGATCTAAGCCCATTGGCTCGTTGTGGCAAGCCCTGCAGCTCATGCTGAAATTTCTGAGACGCGTGCTGAGCAACTGACCAATAACAACAGAGCGAAAGATCATGGATCATCAAGGAGGAGCAGTACATGAAAACAGACACTTTTTTCAGACTTTAGCTATTATGAATGTACAAAAGTAGGTACATTAAATATACGAACCCCAAAAAGGGCATAATATGGGCTCTTTAAAATATGTTGGTGACTAAATCATGAAGAGCTTTGTAAGTGAAAAGAAGAATTTAATCTATTATGTTATAGGGGGCTAGTGCAGAGAAAGATAATAGTAAGGAGTAAGGTGATCTTTATTTACAAGTTAGGCAGTACAGTATAGCAGCATTTTGGGCCAGCTGATGAGTTTTTGGAGGCCGTAGTCATGGTAACAAGTTTGATGAAAATGAATAATGATCAGCGTTTATGGTCTAAGTCTTTAGTTTGAGAACTCTTTCATCACTTTGAGCTGATTTCAGTTAGAATACAAAGATACAACTTAACATCTATTTGAATAAACATGTAACTCTGCATCTCTTAAATCCTGTTTTTGTCTCTCAGGTCCGGACCAGAGCCAGGTGGGCTGCAGGGAGCTCCGGTCCACAAAGTACATCTCAGACGGTCAGTGCACCAGCAGCAACCCCATCAAAGAACTGGTCTGTGCTGGTGAGTGTCTGCCAGTCCACCTGCTGCCAAACTGGATTGGGGGCAGGGCGTATAAAGGGAGATACTGGAGCCGCAGTGATGCCCAGGAGTGGCGCTGCGTTATAGACCGCAGCAGGACACAGCGGATCCGGCTGGAGTGCCAGGATGGCACCTCCAGGACCTACAAGATCACCGTGGTGACGTCCTGCAAGTGCAAGAGGTACTCCAGAGACCACAACCACTCGGCACACAAAGACACACCAGTCCACAAAAAGAGGAAGAATCAGAGGAAGGCCACCACCCCAGAAGATCAAGCACAGACACTGTCTGACAACCAAGACTAAACCAGTCCTGTAGTTCTAAAGTCCTTTAGTCCTTAAGTACTTGTGTGTATATTATTACAATAATGTGCCATTTTCAATCACTTCTGTTGTCTCGCACTGAAGTAAACTGTATTTAACTGCAGTAAAATGTCGTAAAATGTAATAAACTGTGGTAAGAAGACATCAGCCAATTCTGTCTTCATCGGTTTATGGATGAATTAGGTGTGAAAATAATAACTAAATGATATTTAATGAAACTATCTCTATTATCCAAGAGCCAGAGTGATCCAAGTGGAGTCAGATACTCCTTATACTAATATTTCATTTTATTCTTTTATTATATTATCTTGTTTAATTTGAGCGGGTTTGAGTAGATTGTTTCTGCAGATTTAGATTACAGTAACAAAAAGCTCAGTTTAATTTTTCATTTTTAAATAGTCAAACAGAGCCAAGCGAACTGATCCTCTCACTTCCTGTCTTATGCTAAGCTAGGCTAATCACATCCGCAAAGAGGATCCTGAACTATTACTTTGATATGAAACAGTGATGTATATATTTTTACGTCCATTAACAATGTACAGGTTTAACTCCCGCACGTTAAGGGTAAGTTTCCCTGATGAAGGTCTAGTGCTGAAATGTTTCCAATGAATGTGTGTTTGCAGGTTAGACAGTGTGCGGGGAGTTTGCCTGTACGTTTTTGATGGACACGTTACTCCCCTATGAAGCTGTTTTTTCTATTTTGAAATGTACATTTTGTAAAACATTATGCAGTGAAAGCTGTTTGTCCCGGATGTGTTGATTTGTTTTTTAATCATCTGTATCTGTAGTTGACTTCATTTTATTAACCTGCAAGCTGGAGGGACCACAGAACCTGAAACACAGAGTCTGAAGACCGCATGCTCTAATATTCTGTCTGCGGGTTTAACATGAAAGACTCTGATTGATGCATCGTGTTAGCATGATGTTATGTCAGTGAAGTGTTTTTATCAAGAGGAAGAGGGGGAAACATATTAAAAAAATAGACTGTTCTTCATGTCAAACAGAGTTTCTGTGCAGGATACATGATATCATAAGTTTAAATCGAGTACTTTTACTGTAAAAGAAACGTTTTACTGACAGATTGTGTTTGTACAGAAGGCTGTTTTGTGTATTTTGTTCAATATCTTCATGTAAAATTAAAAAAAAATAAAACCTAACTCAAAGAGTCTTAACAGTCAAGATTAAATAAATGTAAAATATCAAGTTAGAATTGATTCATAAATGTGAAGTTTCTTCATATCGGAGTGACGTCTTTAGTCTATAGTGTGAATATGGTGGTAAACTTTTATGGGTTTTTTCAAAGCGAGTGTTATGTAATCTATTTTTTTAACCAGAACAGTTCAAATTCTTTTAATATTTTTGACATTTTAATGAATAAACATTTTAATGAAAATGATCTGTGAGTTTGAACATAATGGAGCAGTCTTTCATACTGTGTTTTTGTTTTAAAGGGAAACCTCCGCTCTTCATAATTTGTCTCATTTTGAAAGGGAAGCCTTCCCCCCTCCAGGCTGCTGGGTGGCTTCCAGCTGCGGTAACATGTTAAGACTCTCCATTGTCTCCTGTTTCCGCTCATGTTAGTCACTTTGAAAGCTGTGAATAGATTCAGGAAGTTACCTGCAGACGAGAGAGAGGGAGAACATGGGTCTCTGTGAAAAAACATCCCACAGGTTTAAAAACAAAACATTCATGAATGTTGAATAACAGGAGGAGCCAAACTTTAATATGTGTGATTGTAGCAGAAAATAACTGCTGATGGATGGATGGATGGATGGATGGATGGATGGATGGATGGATGGACAGATGGACGTATAGATCAATTTCAATCAATCAATTTTTATTTGTATAGCGTCAACTCGTTGAGTTGTTCAGGCAAGCGGTCCATCAACTTTACTGGAAGATGATTCCAGAGGAGAGGAGCCTGATAACTGAAGGCTTTACCTCCCATAGTACATTTAAAGACTGTAGGTACCAGGACTGATAACTGAAGGCTTTACCTCCCATAGTACACTTAGAGACTGTAGATACCACAAGCAGGCCCGCATCCTGGGACCGTAATGTTCTCGAAGGGCAGTACGGCACTAGTTGCTCCTTAAGACGAGATGGTGCCTGGCCATTTAAGGTTTTGTAAGTGAGAAGAAGGATTTTAAATTCTATTCTAGACTGTATAGGGAGCCAGTGCAGAGAAGACAACACAGGAGTAATGTGGTCCCTTTTCCTAGTTCTAGTCAGTACACGAGCTGCAGCGTTCTGGACTAGTTGAAGAGTCTTTAGAGACTTACCAGAGCACCCTGACAAAAGAGAGTTACAATAATCCAATCTGGAGGTAACGAATGCATGAACTAGTTTTTCTGCATCATTTTGAGACAGGATATTCCTGATCTTGGATATATTATGAAGGTGAAAATAGGCTGTTCTTGAAATTTGCCTGATGTGAGCGTTAAAGGAAATGTCTTCAAAATCAAATAGAACTCCTAGATTCCTGACAGTGGTGCTAGATGCCAGGCTGATGTCATTAAGGACAGTCACATCATTAGAAAAAGTCTCTGAGGTTTTTAGGGCCGAGCACAATAACTTCAGTCTTCTCAGAGTTAAGTAGCAAAACATTTCTGGTCATTCAGGTCCTAACGTCCTTAAGGCACATTTCTAGCTTACATAACTGACCGGTGTCATCCGGCTTCATTGATATGTAAAGCTGAGTATCATCTGCATAACAATGAAATTTTATGGAGTGTTTCCTCATAATATTACCCAGAGGAAGCATATAAAATGTAAAAAGAATCGGTCCAAGCACTAAACCTTGTGGCTTTAGGGTTTTCAAACCTCCCTAAACCTATAATTAAATGTCTATTGATCTACAGCTGACTTTCTCCACATCCTGGTGTCTCAGATTTACAGAGACAACTGTTTGTCTTTGAACACAACAATCTAAAGACTCTTCCTGCAAAGTTCCCATGAGTCTGAAAAGGTTTACATTCAGTGACAGAGCTCCCCTCTTATAAGTCTATAGATGAAACATCACAAGTCAGGAAGTAGAGGCGCAACAATCCCGACCAGAACAAGCAGCAGTAAACCTCACTGCGATGTTATTGTGTCTCTGTTAGTTACAGCCACGTTATAAAGCCCTCAACCCAAAGTGTTAATCTTCCTTTTCCTCTACTATGAATCATAAGAGCGGGACATTTTTGTTTAGTTGTTCACATCAAAGAGAGGCTGGAAGCCACATGAAACGCTGCAGAAATTCTTCATCTGCAAACATGCTCAAAAAGACCAAAATAGAAAAATACAAAGGTCCATTTAGTCGAGTGTCCCGAGGCCTGAAGCTGTGAAACGTTTCTGCTGCTGGATGTCTGTCTTCATGTGTGCAGTGCAGTCAAAAGCCTCAAGCAGTCAAAGAGAGGTTAATCTCTGTGCTGCAGACACACCTGTGCTTCTCTTTCAGGCAGGATGTTAGAGGAGAAACGCTCAGAAAACCTCGTCAAACAAAGACAGGCAGGATCACACGCCTTCTCTCTCTCGTCTTATTATAGAGGGGGGAGACAAGAATAAACAACACCATTTTAATCACTGTGCTCGACTGTTTTAGGGTTTAAAACTTGAACAGAATGTTGCATTAGAACATTGTTTTTCATGGCAAATGAAGTTCTTTTTCTTGATTTGAATGAGTTTAGATTTGTACTGTAGAGGAGTTTTGTCAGTCCCAAAGGTGTTTTTAAAGTCTTCATCTGCTGTGTGTGTATGGACTAATAAATACTAAATGATTGCGTTGACATGGACTTGAGCATCTCGTTTTGTGTTTGTCCGCACCCAGTGAACATAACTGTTTTGTAATGTCATAAAGAATACAACCAATCAGGTCCTGTACAGAGTGGGGATGCCAGAAATTGAAGAAGAAGAAGAGGAGGGCGCTGGCTCGGACATTTGACCCTGACAAGAACTTGTTGACAAACTTATTTCAGTCGGCTCCAAAGGCTGATGGGAGCTAATTTTAGCCAGGAGGCTAACGCTAACAGTACTTATGTACTACATTGATTTCAGGGGCCCAGACATTTCTACGGGCAGGCAGAAAACATATCCTGATTTCAGAAACAGGGTTAAGTCCTTATTCTGGTATTGAGAGGCAGAACATCTACAGCCAGATGTGTCTGCCTATAAGTCTTTAAACATACTCTTAAAATAATCCAATGAAGCCTGCTTGTTAAGTTTTAGGTCTTTTTCTAATCTGTTCCTCGTTGAGGGAGCAGCAAACTTAAACACCTTTTTTCCTCCAGTTCAGTTCTGACTTTTGGAGACTTTTCTGAGACCAACTTTTTTAAGTTCCTGACTGATGTAGGGAGAATACAACAGTGATCTGTGTATGGACACAGAAGAGCGTCCAACAAGGGATTCTAAATTAGTGATGATGAGCCTTCAGAGCTCTGAGATACACAGAGAACGTTTTTAGAAACATCTCCAGGAAACCAAAAAGATTCCTAAATGAAAAATTGGCAACAAGTGATGACTGACATGATAGTTATTGACAAACTGAACAACTTCCATTAGGTCACTGCTCATCAGGAGTGAAGCAGGAATATGTGTAGCTGATACTGTAGCTCCTCAATGGTCCATTAAGGATACAGTGTTTCCCCTCCACGAGGCTCTTATTGTCACACACACAGCCCTGCAGACAGGAGATATAAAAGCTGCACTGTTTGTTCCTCAGCAGGTGTAAGGTGAGGCTTTGGCTGCACTCGATAGCCTTGTCGCTCTCTGGATGATCTCACCTTCTGGAAATGTCCATTAGCAGCAACATGCTCTAAAATTACAACTCAGAGGACTGAAAGAGCAAAACACAGCGAGCATTAAAAACACAAAAACTCAGCTCATATCAACGTGCAACAGCAGGCAGCAACACGCAGCAACAGGCTCTGTTAGAAAAAATACAGATTACACTGTAAAACAGGGTGAGGTAAAAATACTTTTGTGAGTCAAAACTGCCTCAAATCTTCAGCTGGTCTCACAAAGAATAAAAGGATGAAAACACAACATCACAGCTTCAACACGAGCATCAAACACACAGACTGTCCGTATCACACTTATCACTTTATGGTGCAAAGATGAATATGTAGTGGTGTCCCAGTTCTTAGTGGGCATTATCATACCCTATCTATTGCACTCACTGAGTCATTGTATCCCTTACTGCATTGTGAAAAGTAGTGTTCAACCGATGGTCAATATCTGAGCAATATATACCATCATGCATCGCAGTTCAAAACATTTTACGATAGTCTGTAAATATGAATGTTTGAAGCCTGAGGGACGTCACCCGTCTGTTCCTGCAGGGGGCACTGGAGTCCCATCAATGGCGGTCTCAATACTGGAAATACTGTCTCACCCTAACTTTCAGCCAACCTAATGACAGACTGAGAGCTGGAGCTGAAGCAGGTTTTAACCCTCTTGACCAGTGGTACTCAGTCTTGTTAGACTTAAGAGAGACAAAAATATTTCTGCAAGAGCCATAATCAAAAAACCTCTTTCTTTCCAAAAATATGTGTGGGAAACACAGTGACATGACTTGCAAAGAATAATTTCTACTGGCAACATTTCCCCTTTTTAAATAATTACTTTTGATTTTTTTTTCCAAGTAGGACCTAAAGAGCCACAACTAGTCCAAATGGGCCACATGTGGCTCGAGAGCCTCGGTTGAGTATCACTTCTCTGACAAACCGTCGCGCACGCCTGTCAATCAGGTCAGCTACGCGCCTTATTGTGAATAACTCTTATCCTTCACCAAATCAAAATGAGTGCAGGGCGGCTGTTGCTCAGTGGCAGAGTCGTCGTGTCCTGCAGCCACATTTCCGATGTGACCTTGGGCAAGACACCGAACCCCAGGTTGCCCCCGCTGCCTTGTCGGGGGGCGTATGAATGGGATTATTTACTTCACTTTACATGGCAACCTCTGCAATCAGTGTGTGAATGGGTAGGTGTGACCTGCGGTGTAAAAGCGCTTTGAGTATCAAGACAAGCTCAAGTTCCCCCCCCCCCCGTACAGTGTGTGCTGATCGAGCCATGAGCTAATCAGACCTATTTGTTTGTTTTGAACCAGGCTGTAAACATGTTAATTTAAGCTGTAAAAACAGGCTTTCTTGATGGGTATGTATGTAACTTCCTGTGTTTCTGCAGTCAGCCTCTAGTGGACAATTGAGGAACTGCAGGATGTTGCACTCCCACACTGGAGGTTGCTGCTTGGGGTGAACAACATTGTCCTTGCGTCGTCAAATGAAAGCTCGGCCTAGCGACAGTTGATATGTCAAAGGTTTCTGATTGTATGAAGTTGACATGTTTCCTCTTTAAAAGTTGATGTCTGAACTGTTTGTGGGTTTAAATGAATTAGCAGCGAGATGAGTTTTATCGCTGTGTGATCTAAGTTCAGATCCCATGCAGTCTTCGCTGTGTGATGAGATCACCATCATCATGATGTATGTGCACGTCCATTGTCCAATCATACAGTGGGCAGACAAAGCCTCCTGCTCACCTTCATCCTGCCGAAACTTTGCCACTCAGACCCAAGGTGTCTCCTTACACACGTTTCCCAGAGCTGACAATGACTTCACTCTCCGTCTCCCCCTTTGATTCGACTGAAAACTGTCCAGGTCCTGCCATCATTGTTACACAGAGTTACGGAGTCAAGATGATCTCCAATTACCCCAAAAAGCTGTTTGTCACATCACAGCACAGCGCTTTGAGGGGGGGGGAGGGGGACCTGAAGGACCTGGGGGGCTCTGAAGACGATATGTGATCCTGAAGAGTGCTCGCTAATTTTTACATCTCAGAGACCGGAAACTTGAGATCGAGCCCCTTTATGCTTCTCTGAGGGAGACACAGGTTGGGGGGGGGGGGGTTGTGATTTCAGGAAAAGTGTGTGTCTGTTTGAGCTTTAACAGGAGTTCTGTGATGAATAATGGAAAGACAGGTTCGGCTTGTTGGCTTGAAAAGTTCAGATGTGATGCAGGGGGGGGGGTTGTGATTTCAGGAAAAGTGTGTGTCTGTTGGGGGGGGGGGTATTTCACACTTGCACAAAACTCCTGAAAACTTCTTGAGATTTTCAATGTGTGAACGCAAACAGCCAGATTTTTAAATCAACTTCACCCAATTTATTCCTGCAAACCCGCTAGTTAGACTCTGCGTGAAGCTGGGGGGAGTTCTGATCTGAGAACGCAGCAGAAAATATTCAGGATAATTCCTGGCGAGCGAACAGGAGGACACGTAAATGTTTATATCCTGACACCGGCGCACGACCATAGACTGTCCAGCGCGCCATCAATGGGATCTCTGTTTCATCATGATGTTCTTCTCCGCTCTTACTTCACATGGCATTGATATACAGTAAAAGCAAAAAGAGCGTCACCACATCGTTGGACTCTGTTGCTCCATCCACCAATTCTGTGTTGATCACGTCTCACCTCCAGAGGCTCCGCCCACCTCTCACCTGAGCATGTGTGAACAAAGGCCCTCATTATTGTATATTTTATCCTGTTCAGGGTCATGGGGGGCTGGAGCTGATTACAGGTGTCATTGGGCGAGAGGCGGGTCTACACCTGGACAGATCACCTGTCAATCACAGAGCCGACAAATTCAAACAAATAAACAAACCCGTTAACCTGACGAGCGTGTGTGTGGACTGTGGGAACCCTGAGAGAACCCACAGGAGTTCGGAGACTCCTGAGTCTGTCAATAGAGATGATGATGATGATGATGATGATGATGATGATGCCCACCGCATTACGCCCAGCCATAACCATCAGACTGTGTCGTCCCCACAACCACCGCCGTCCTCATTCATGCACAGCCTGCTCCGACCTCCACCTCAGCTGCAACGAGTGTGGACAACAGAAACGCGAGGAATACAAAGGAGAAATCCTTCCTGCATATTTTCCCATCTGCTCTTTTTGTAAGGCGCCTCGAGATAACACTTGTTGTGAATTGACGCTTAATAAAGATTGATTGATGATGATGATGACGAACCCCCACCCAACCTAAAGATTCAAACCAGAGACCTTCATGCTGAGAGGTCACTAACGCACCTTCCTGCCGCCCACCATAAAGTGAACAGTTCGGTCTAGAGAGAAGAGAAGGAAAATGCTGCCATCTAGTGTTGAAACTGGAGTTATCTCACCTTCTTTAAGGAGGAATGTCATGAATCATAATTTAATGTTTTAAAATGTTTTTGATACATTACAAAATTCAAACAGCAAGTAAAAAACTCTCATCTTAAGACAGTATAAAATTTCAAAACAAAAGCCTCACAATTTTGTATTTTCATATGCAAATAAAATCACGATTAACACGATTAAAAATGTAATTGACACACATAGCTCAGTTACACTACAGGAGGAATTAAATGTGAATTTATTCAAATGTTTTTTATAGTCTGAAAGATACTTAGATAATTAAACAACTTTAGGACGCCTCAGCTATGAGCTCTCACTGTAATATAAACATACAGTATAAAAACCTACCTATAAATTTACACACACACTGTTTACATCTATTCATGTATGAGAACACATACATATCTAAACATATCTAAACAATCATGTATCCAGACATTTTGCGCGTAGAATCACCATGATGTCAAACCTATAAAAATACTGTAAATAAAGAGAACAAATGTCGTATTGCAGCTTTCTTCACTCTGCTACGTCGGGCCGCTCATCATCCTTCTCTTCTCGTCGAGTTTGAACCTTTAAACTCACAACAGGCCTCAGTTTCAAACTTCACACTGGGACTCTGACGAGACGAACAGAGTGGTTGATGAGGTTTCTCAGACTCAGGATGAACCCCGTTCAGGCTCTGACACGTGAAGATTCCCAGAGAGAGGACTCGTGTCCTTCAGGGTTAAAGACATCAGGTTCTCAGAAACCCGCTCTCAGTCTTTGCAGGACGGACCGGCTGCTGGTGAGGGACAGGACAGCAGCTCTGCAGGACATCCCCCCACTGCAGCCACTTTCTCCTCCGCCCGCATACACAGCTCCTGCAGAAAGTTCGCCGTCTCCATCACCAGGTCGCTCTCATCATCTGACAGGAAACACAGAGGCTAGCTTAGCATGAGGGCTAAAAACAGGAAGTTTAAAGGGGACATATTATGAAAAATCCACTTTACCTGAGGGTAACCTGAGTGTCTACTGACCCACAAACTATGAAATAAACCCATCCAGTCCTTTGTTTGTGGTCTGCATAAGTCGAAAAATGCTCCGTTTCAAATGTGCTCTCCTTGTGATGTCACAGTGGGATTCTGGTAAAAAAAAAAAATCCCCTCCCCTCCCCTGGTATCTCCACCCATAGACTCCACCCCCAGCCTAGATCAAAACTTTTGTGCAGGTCAGCCATTTTTATTCTCACTAGCGAAGGACTGATGCCTACGGGGAAAACTCAGGGGGGCGTTCATTGCATTTAAAGAGACACACACACCAAAACAGAGCGTTCTGAGCACTGGTTTATACAGGGTCACAAACCTCCTCTGGTGCTTGATTCATGTTATATTTTGACCAAAGCACAGCACAGATGTTTAATTTAGACCACAGGGGACTGTTTGAAAAGGTGGAGAAGGAGGATAATATGTCCTCTTTAATACAAGAGGGAACAGACAGCTCTGTGAAGTGGAAACATTAGCCTGTGTTAGCATGAAATTCAGGAGCAGGAGTAAACAGCTGACTTCACATCCCTCACACAGAATCTTAAACATTTAGATCAAAGGTTTTTAGAGTCGCTAAACTCTCCACATCAAACAGGTGAGATGGTGACCTTTCAGAGGTTTGAGTCTGGGCGTGTCCTCCTCCAGGTCGGCGTCCTGCTCCTGCAGCGAGTAGCACATCTTCTTATGAGTGAACCAGTGAAGCTTCTGACACGCCAGGCTGCAGTACAACGCCTGAGAGTACAGAAGAGAGAGGCTCACCTGAAGGCAGTTCAACACACACACACACACACACACACACACAGACTCTAAAGCATACTACATGACCTCTGATATGATGCACACATTGGACGCGCAAACTAACCACTGGCGCCCCGAATCGTCCTACTTTTAAAACTACAACTCCGACTTACAGCCTTGCAGAGGGAGCACCTCTTGTCGGCGCCCTTCTCCCCACACGTGTTGCAGTAATCAGCGTCCACCAACGCCATCTGACCCATCAGAGCTTGACTCAGCACGGAGAACGCCGTGGGGTCGTTGCCCTGGGAACAGGAAGTGACATCAGAGATTAAACAGAGGAGCGTTCACTCAGTTGTCACCCTCTACACCATCAGCTGCTGCCAACACTGCTTTTTAGCACGCTACTCGTCCTCTTCACTTACAATCTCTACCGGTGCAATGCTCCTCACCAGCTCTTGCAGCAGCGTGGCCTCACAGTACGGAAACTTCCGGATGCATTCCCTGATGAACTTCTCCTGGTACTGCGGGAAACCATCGCTGTCCCGTCCCTTGAGCAGGCTGAGACCAGGACAAACGAGAGATACTGGTGTTTGTTATTCGTCTACAACGAGTCTAATGTGTTATTCCAGTTCAGTGCTGATCCCAACATGTGACCAGTCCGACCTGCTGGTTTTAAGTTCTAGACTCACTTCTTGACGAGGGCTTCCAGCGTGTCGTCTCGTTTCTGCAGGAAGGAAACACATTTCCGCAGCACACAGCTGATGTAGTGCATCTTCATGGCCAGCACCTCGTTCATGTCCTGCTGCGTCACACACTGCTTGCACAGCAGGTCCATCACCTGGTAACACTTCTCCAGAGCCGCCACGTCCACCAGAACGGGGTTCTCCTTCACCAGCAGGACTATCTGACAGAAGAGAGCGACGGTCAGAGGGTCGAGGTTAGACACACTAAACTGTCGGAGATAACAACGCCGGCATTAACTCGTCCATGGGAGAACGAGACGCGGAGATACCTGAACATCCAGAGAGGGAAATCCCCGTTTCCAGCAGAGACTCGTGGCCTCAGACTGGAAGGTTCTGACTATCATGTGACAGATTTCCACTCGGCTGCAGAGCCCACAGAACTCGCGAAGACTGGATAAAAGCAAACTCAGGCGAATCTCCTGCCTGGTGTTCTGCCACTTAGGAGCTTCTTGACTTCCTCTGTGACCTCCGCCAAGGATAAAGGTTCAGAACTTCACTTGGATCAAACCGCCTCCTCATCAGAGGACCTGCTGATCAGGTTGAGGAGTTCCTCAAAGTGCTGCTCACCCTGAATATTCCTGGAAGCTTTTCAGGACTTTTATGCGAGTGTGCCATCATTCAGAGATTCTCTCCCTCTAAATTGCAGTCACAAAGAAATTGACCCTCCCGGTCTGACAAATGAGGGGCGACTTCTAAAAGTGAGATGGCTTGACTATCTCATTTTTAGAAGTCGTGCCCTCTCCAGGAGTTTGGTTCCAGAACCAACGCTCTGTGGGGATGTGAGCCTGAAAATGTCCTTGTGCCTGCAGGCAAGTGCAAATCAATATGAAGATTTAACTATTCCAGAACAAGTAATCAGGTTTTCACCTTCTTATGAAGATGGAAAAATAAGGTCAACAACATGCTGGTGAACCTATGGGTGAGTTAGCAGCTGGTTCGCTTCCTCACCTTAACCGGGTTGAGGTTGGTGGTCATGATGATCTTGTACAGGGGTCTGGCCAGGTTGGGGGGGAGTTTGGGCTCTCTCTCTAGTCCCTGAGGGCGGGTGTAGTACTCAAGCCTCTTCAGGGAGAAGAAGTTATTGATCACTGTGACACAGTCGTGCTGACCTGGAGGAGAAGGGTCAAGGTCAGGTCTGGGGAGTGTTACTGCCTGTATGAATAAAAGGTGTGTATATATATTTAATATGATCTTGTGTTTCTGACCTACGAAAGCCGCCATCTGAGCGGCGGTTCGTCCGACAGAGTTGACGATGTCTCTCTCTGCTCCAGCGTCCAGCATCATGGAGGTGATGTCCGTCTTCCCTGCGTCAGGTTGAATGTCCAGCAGAAGAATGAGAACAGGAAAAGTTCAACTTAAGGAAACATGACTCTAAACTTCACACTCGTCAGATAATCATAGTTTTTTTTTTATTACCTGACAGGCCGGCGAACATGAGCGCCGTGTAGCCGTACTCGTGCTGGTTACAGTTCACGTCAGCTCCGTGCTGCAGCAGCAGACGACACATGTCAGCCTTCCCTTTATACGCCGCATGCATCAGAGGAGTCATCCCGTTCTGTACACACACACACACACACACACACACACACACACACACACACACACACACACACACACACAGCGGTGTTTCAATCCAAAGTGAATCTCATTATGCGTCAAGATGTTTCAGTTATATACTGTTGAAAGTTTAAAATTCAACTTTTATTATGTTGCCTACTACATAAATTTGTGTTTTTCAAAATAAAATAAAATGTTGTTTCTGCTTTTTGTTACAAGTTTTCTAAATATGTGAATGTTTTTTTTTAAATCATCATTAATAATATTTTATTCAGACTTTTTTTCATCATCTCGTTCTTCTTCTGCAGTTTACCTGCGTCGACATGTTAACATGGAGTGGTGCGTTCAGGTGTCACTTGTGAAACCTCTCTCTGTGGCTTGTTCAGGTGCCTGTCAACTGATGTGTTTCTGTGGTGTGTTCAGGTGTCTTTAGGTGCCTTTTGGTTCATAAATTATATATATATATATATATATATATATATATATATATATATATGTTTCTGTGGTGCATTCAGGTGTCTCTTGAGTAACCTCTCTCTCTCTGTGGTGCATTCAGGTGTCTCTTGAGTAACCTCTCTCTCTCTGTGGTGCATTCAGGTGTCTCTTGAGTAACCTCTCTCTCTCTGTGGTGCATTCATTTGTCTCTTGAGTAACCTCTCTCTCTCTGTGGTGCATTCAGGTGTCTCTTGAGTAACCTCTCTATCTGTGGTGCATTCAGGTGTCTCTTGAGTAACATCTCTCTCTCTGGTGCATTCAGGTGCTGCTGTCAGCTGTTTGTGACAGTCAGCGTCTGGGAGCTACTTGAAGTGTTTGTCTCTTTTATCCTTCAGCTCTCAGAGTCGTCTCCATATGTTTCAATCACAAAGAGAACATATGTCACGCTGACAGACTGACAGCAGCAGAGGTGCATTGTGGGAGGAGCAGAAGGCGTGGAGGGGAGGGGTCCTCTGGGTTACAGTCTGAATGTTTATTATTTCATTACAGGAGAATACAAATTTAAGACACTCTGGTGTGAAGAACATAAAGCACCCTATCTGTGTACCTCGTCCAGACAGTTGATCCGTACATCGTTGTTAGCGAGCAGCTCGGCCGCGTCCTGAACGTCTCCTGAAAAACACACAAAACCCTTTCAAATGTGACTCAAGTTTGAACTGTGTGCAAGACGACGGTCCTAACAGCCGTCTACTGACCCTCGACATTTGACACTTTACATCCTGATGTCACTCTCTACCGTCTCGCTAATGACGGCTTCAAAAGTTGCAAAAAAAAATAAATCTTCATAAAAACATCACATCATGTTTAAGCCTGAAAGCAGAGATGTATAGTAGCCTACTGTGGCTTCATCTCATCTCACAGGGAGGTTACTTTAAAGAGAAATAGAAGGAGAGAAAAGCTCAATTTGTCATACAGACGCTGACACAGGTGAAGACAAACAGGTCCATCAAACCTGGAGGGAAACACACAGAGGCAGGTAGAAGAAACCCAAGACATGATACACAGGGGAAATAAACTCCAAAATAAAACAGGAAACACTGAAAACTAAACTCAGAAAAACAGACGGGAAACAGAGAAACATGAGGATGCAAATGACAAAATGAAACTTGAGAAACAACAACAACAACAACAAGGAATAAACAAAAACAGAGGAAAACAAAATAGTCGCTAATTAAAAATGTTCCCAAAATAACATTAGGCCTAAACGTATTTGCATTACAGCCAGTGGAGTGGTATACTCTTAATTTCCCCCTGTATGAGTTGGGAGTGACCTGTCCAGCAGAGGATAAACGTCCTCTGTTATAAACAGTTACATGAGCACATTCAGTTAGTACGTTAATTAATCAATTAGAGACCGAGTTGGAGGGTCATCCCCTCACCATCCGAGGTAAAACTTGCAGCAAACTACTCAATATAGTCAATCAATAAATGGTGTGAATCAGGGGAGATTTAGAGGTGTACTCTAGAGACTCAAAAATCACTGTGTATACCCTACATCAGTAATTACTGCAATTAAAGTAAGATTAATTAAATGAATATGCAAAATAGAACATATTGCTTTATGTAACACAAAATGCATGAAATTATAACAACAAATTCCCTTCATATAACTGAAGTTTCATGTATGATTCTCACATTTTCAACATGATTTCACAGTAAAATAAGTCACAAATTATGAGTTAATTACTCAGCATGTTGCAGCAATCCAGTAAACATCCTGACTGAACGATCACAGACTTTTTTTCTTCAGAGTCGGTGAAAATACCCGAGGAAATATCTCATTTGTGTCTCCACTGATGTGCTGTATACGCGGGCAGAACCCATAGAGCGAGCTCTCTGTGCATGTTCATAATTAGTGAGCTGCGTTCAAGATCCTGTTCATTTGTTATGTCTCTCATGTATCTGCATACATGTTCTCTCAGCCACAAGACAGAAAACATGCAACATATAGACACATGAATGTACCTGAAAATCTACTCAGTGATCAGATCAGTTCTTAAAAGTATTCTGAAAAAATCTCAGGTATAATAAAGTAAAAAAAAGAGCAGATGAGAGGAAATGAGAAAAGCAGCATTCAGTTAGCAGCTCGGCCATTCAGTGAGTGTCTAAGGTGCAGTGATATCCCGATGTATTCATAAAGTTTAATACACCCAGAGATGCAGATGTCTCCAAAATATTAAATCAAATTTGTTTCATTTTGTTTTTAAATCAGTGTGCAAAAATCTCATGTGCAATAATAGATGTACTAATTCACAGGACAGGAATAATTATTTTATTGTATTGTACAGAGTTTCCTTTTACAGTTTTTCTTACAGTTTCTATTTCTGTGTTTTGTATTTTTCTGCTCTCTTATCTTCATATTGCTCTTCTAGTTTTTGTACAGCTGACTCTGGGAGGAATGCACAGAAAGGTAAATGTACCTGTCTAATCTAATCTCATCTTTAAAGGGTTAAACTGTGGTAAAACCTTTTTTTTAAAGCATTTCATTAGGTGCAAAGAACACTGAAAGCTGATTGGACGGCAGCTCCCTCAGGAGTTTAAATGAGTCTCCTCTGAGTTCAGACTGTAAATGTTAAACCACGTTATCGCTCTACAAATGAGACCGAGTCAGTTTGGTATCGGCATCTTTACAGTGAAGTGACTCACCTTCACAGACGACCTGCAGGATCCTCCTCTCCGAGTCTGACAGGTCTCCTCTCTGAGCCTCCGCCATCCTCAGCAAACCAGTCCAAAGCTGGTCCAAAAGTGGGCTAAAGTAGTCGTCTGATGTGGTCCTGGTGGAGGTCTGCAGCTGGAGGTCAGCAGGTGGACTGAGGGACTTCAGAGGGAAGCAGCTTGCCTTGGAGTAAACCACACATGGGGGAGGGGGGAGGGTGATGATATAAGAAAATACCACTTCCTGTTAGTGAACTCTCAGATGAAGAGGGGGGGTGGGGTTAGTGATATAAGAAGACCACTTCCTGTCAGTGAACTGGTCACATGGTGTTTTCACACGTGCACAAAACTCCTGAAAACCTTCTGACTTTTTCCTGGGTGAGCTGCATGTGTGAACGCAAACAGTTGAACTTTTCACTCCGACTTATGCAGAATTTTTCCAGCCAGCCCGAGTTGACCCAGGTGAATTCTTCCGCTCAAAAGCGGTGTGAGTTGATGCGAGAATGCGGCAGGAAAAAATTCCCAGTGAACGCGCAAACGGACTTGAGCTTGTGTGTTTCTTTTCTCGTCTTCTGAGTACTCAAAGTGCTTTTTACACCGCAGGTCACACCTACACATTCACACACTGATGGTAGAGGCTGCTGGGTAAAGAGTCCATCAGAGGTAACTAATCCAATTCATACACATTCACACGCCGACGATGAAGGAGCGGGAGCAACTTGGGGTTAAGTGTTGTGCCCAAGGACACGTTGCTGCAGGAGCTGGGGATTGAACCCTTGACGTTCCAGCTGAGAGATGACCCACTCTGCCACTGAGCCAGAGCTGTGTGACATTTATATCCAGCTGCTGGCGCTAACAGTGTCACCTCTGAGCATGTAAAGTAATTGTCTGATACGACCGATAACCTGATCAATGATGTGATTAATTATCTGTTTGATAATCTGATGAAAGATCTGATCAATAACCGGATGATATGTGATGCTCTCTATTTTATAAGGGAAGTAACGGGACCTGTCTGCAGCCAATCGGAGGGCTGCAAGCTCCCTGACCCCGCCCCTCAATGAGTCATACGGTCTGCGGTCTAAGGGCTTCAAAATTAAACACATGACCACATCAACCACCGGAGTTCAAGGTTTCCCCCCTTCAAAATAAAATCGCAAGATGTTTTATGTTTTGATTTATTACACTGAAAAAAGCCCAGTTTTTGATATTATTGTTTTATTTATTAACATTAATTAAACGGTTTATTTAAAACTATTGAAATCAGAGTTTTAATGGTTACTTTCTTTATTAAATCATTGATCATTAATCCTCAAACATGTCGCTGAACACAGTTTGATGAACTAAAGTTTTTTTTTTACAGGAGTTTTGAAGGCTGAAACTCAAACATTGTTACTGTGTGTTACCTCCGTCTGTCTTTACCTGCAGGACGGACACGGCTCTCCTGGGACTTTTATTTTGAAGGCGTCATGCCTCACCTCCGGAGTCCTCGTGCGTGTGTCAGCTTCCAGCTCGCACAGAAGCAACCAACAAATCAGCTGATCGAGTCTCCGAGGATTTCACGGTCAGAAACAAATATTTAATTTTTTCATCGATTTGATTTTTATTGATTTTTTTTAAAAGATGGGCGCTGCCGGGTTCACGTGCTCCAAAATCTGTCTGTGCGCGCTCAACATCCTGTATGTGGTGAGTGAGGAGAGGCTCTTTGACATATTGATAAACTATGAATTCAATAATTTATTCACAGTGTTAGTGTGTAAATAATCAGGTTTAAGACCTCTGTGTACACTCTGTGTGTTTTTGATTATATGAATATTTGTGCGTGTGTGTGTGTGTGTGTGTGTGTGTGTGTGTGTGTGTGTGTGTGTGTGTGTGTGTGTGTGTGTGTGTGTGTGCTTGTGCAGATGGTGAGTCTGCTCCTGGTCGGCATCGCGGTCTGGGCATGTGGTTCGGTCTGGTCTCCAGCTTCCAGGTGGTCGGGGGATTGTGGGGGTCGGGTGTTCCTCTTCCTCGTGGCTGTGGCCGGACTCATAGGGGCGATGAAGCACCACCAGGTCCTCCTCTTCTTCGTATCCTTCAGTGTGTGTGTGTGTGTGTGTGTGTGTGTGTGTGTGTGTGTGTGTGTGTGTGTGTGTGTGTGTGTGTGTGTGTGTGTGTGTTTTAGTGTAGAATAATTCAACTGATCATTATAAATAAAAATGTGATAATTAAATGTATGTTAATGATGTTGAGCTCACTCCGCTCTGTGTTTTGGAAAATCTGTTCTCTGATAATTTATTAATGAAATGAAACAGGATCCAGAGCAGTGTCCAATTTCACACACATTGGAGTGTTATTGTGTGTGTGTGTGTGTGTGAGTGTGTGTGTGTGTGTTTTTGTGTTGTTGTTCCTTCACAGTCAGGTCACAGTACATGATCGTCCTCTTCATGGTCTTCATTGTTCAGTTTTCCGTCTCCAGCGCCTGTTTGGCCGTCAACAGAGAACAGCAGGTGAGATGCGGTTTGACCCAGAGCAGCTTCTCTCCATCATGGGGTCGTTATCGTGCCTTTAGAGGAGACAGTGAACTGCCATTTACTAAATAAACTTTGTGGGGAAAGATGATTCCTCAGTTCAAGACAACACGAGAAAAACCAAAGAAAGCCCCAGTCATCCTGTGAGCCTGAGCTCAGGGGGGGGGAAAAACATATTTACAGAAATTTGCTAAATTTCAAGTTTTAATCACGATAATTGCAGCTTTTGAAATTCAATATTTCACATTTAAAAACTGATTTTGTTAGGCTTTTATTCTGAAATTTGTACTGTCTTAAGCTGAGAGTTTTTTTACTTGCTGTTTGAATCAACCATGCTTTTATTTTGAAATATAGTAAGGCCCATCCTGTAGATGGAAGGTTAAGAAATTAACTTAAGCGCAGAAACAGGAAGTGGTTAGGGATCCCAAACTGACGCCAGACAGCTCAAAGGAACGATGACAAAGGTTAATGTGTGATGTCATAAGTTCAATGTGTGATGTCATAAGGTGGATATTACTTTGGACTCGTCAGCTGAGCTGTCTGAGAGTTTGTTAAAGTGAAATGAGACATTCAAAGATGCAGCAGTGTCCTTCTTTTACATCACTGAGACTACAGGGAGACACTGAGGACGACTATCTACGGAGAGCCTGAAGGGACAAAATAAGATGAGATTAATGCATTAATTTCAGACCATATCACATTAATGCTGACAGCCCTAATATATGTCAAGTAACCCTCAGTCTACCACAAGTCTCTTATTTTTTTTTCAAAATAAAAGCAGGTTTGTATCCAAACAGGGAAATTACCCTTAGCTAAACACATTTAAAAAAACAAAATAAAAGCATGATAAAACTCAAAATTCAAAATAAAGGGATTTCAAACATGGGATTAAACACACGATTAAACGCCTTTAAAAAGTCATCGTTCTAACAACACAGCTCTAACAATATATATCCTGTATGTATTCTGTATGTTTTTGTATGTATATCAAATGTGAATAAGCTGAGCGGCTCATCGATTGATTTGCTGGTTCACTACTCTCTCCTGGTTAAGACTTGGGTCCTGGTTCTCGTCTTTAGATTAACTTTATGTTCGTTACAAATGATCCCGGATCATCCTAACACACAAAACACACACACACAAACACACACACACACACACAAATTCTCGGTCTCATGACGTTCATGTGAAGCTTCTTTGTTGTTTCAGTCTGATTAATGTGACTCAATTTAATTATTAATCTGAGTCACATCACCGCTCACACGGAGCAGCAGGTCGCATTTATTACAGAACATTTCATACCTCGTGTGTGTGTGTGTGTGTGTGTGTGTGTGTGTGTGTGTGTGTGTGTGTGTGTGTGTGTGTGTGTGTGTGTGTGTGTGTGTGTGTGTGTGTGTGTGTGTGTGTGTTGCAGGAGGAGCTGTTGGAGGTCGGCTGGAATAACTCTCAGAGCACTCAAAGAGACGTGGAGAAGAGTTTAAACTGCTGTGGATTCAGAGAGGTGGACAACAACCACACCTGTGAAGCTGTGAGTCCACCTGCCTCATGCCTGCGTGATGTCACACACCTGTATCCTGTCTGAGTGATGTCATACCCTCACCTGTGTTTATGATGACACAGTCAAAGTTTCAAAAGTGTGTGTGTGTGTGTGTTACCCAGGTGTGTTTTCCGAACCATGCGTGTGTGCCGTGTGCAGAGAAGATCCAGGAGCATGCAGGAGAGGCTCTGCGGTTTGCGGGGGGCATCGGCCTCTTCTTTAGCTTCACAGAGGTGAGAAAGTAACAGGTGTCACAACAGCTGTAACATGTGTCATAACAGCTGTATCAAGTGTCACAACAGCTGTAACAGGTGTCATAACAGCTGTAACAGGTGTCACAACAGCTGTAACAGGTGTCATAACAGCTGTATCAAGTGTCACAACAGCTGTAACAGGTGTCATGAAAGCTGTAACAGGTGTCATAACAGCTGTAGTAGGTGTCATAACAGCTGTAACAGGTGTCATAACAGGTGTCATAACAGCTGTAACAGGTGTCATAACAGCTGTATCAAGTGTCACAACAGCTGTAACAGGTGTCATAACAGCTGTAACAGGTGTCACAACAGCTGTAACAGGTGTCATAACAGCTGTATCAAGTGTCACAACAGCTGTAACAGGTGTCATGAAAGCTGTAACAGGTGTCATGAAAGCTGTAACAGGTGTCATAACAGCTGTAGTAGGTGTCATAACAGGTGTCATAACAGCTGTATCAAGTGTCACAACAGCTGTAACAGGTGTCATGAAAGCTGTAACATGTGTCATAACAGCTGTAATAGGTGTCATAACAGCTGTAATAGATGTCATGACAGCTGTAACAGGTGTCACAACAGCTGTAACAGGTGTCATAACAGCTGTATCAAGTGTCACAACAGCTGTAACAGGTGTCATGAAAGCTGTAACAGGTGTCATAACAGCTGTAACAGGTGTCATAACAGCTGTAATAGGTGTCACAACAGTTGTAACAGGTGTCACAACAGCTGTAACAGGTGTCACAACAGCTGTAACAGGTGTCATAACAGCTGTATCAAGTGTTACAACAGCTGTAACAGGTGTCATGAAAGCTGTAACAGGTGTCATAACAGCTGTAATAGGTGTCATAACAGCTGTAACAGGTGTCATAACAGTTGTAACAGGTGTCACAACAGCTGTAACAGGTGTCACAACAGCTGTAACAGGTGTCATAACAGCTGTAACAGGTGTCATAATAGGTGTCATAACAGCTGTATCAAGTGTTACAACAGCTGTAACAGGTGTCATGAAAGCTGTAACAGGTGTCATAACAGCTGTAATAGGTGTCATAACAGCTGTAACAGGTGTCATAACAGCTGTAACAGGTGTCACAACAGCTGTAACAGGTGTCATAATAGGTGTCATAACAGCTGTATCAAGTGTTACAACAGCTGTAACAGGTGTCATGAAAGCTGTAATAGGTGTCATAACAGCTGTAACAGGTGTCATAACAGCTGTAATAGGTGTCATAACAGCTGTAACAGGTGTCATAACAGCTGTAACAGGTGTCACAACAGCTGTAACAGGTGTCATAATAGGTGTCATAACAGCTGTATCAAGTGTCATAACAGCTGTAACAGGTGTCAGATGATGAGGTATTAATCAAATATTGTAAAATGTGTGTGTGTGTGTGTGTGTGTGTGTGTGTGTGTGTGTGTGTGTGTGTGTGTGTGTGTGTGTGTGTGTGTGTGTGTGTGTGTGTGTGTGTGTGTGTGTGTGTGTGTGTGTGTGTGTGTGTGTCAGGTCGTGGGGGTGTGGCTGGCTTATCATTACAGGAACCAGAAGGACCCTCGAGCCAATCCCAGCGCCTTCCTGTGACCCCCCCCCCCATACTGACCTCCCCACAATGGACCAGACACACCTGTGTGTGTCCACTGATGCTACTGATGCTGATGGTTTAATATGAGCGTGTGTGCGTGTGTGTGTTTGTGTGTGTGTGTGTGTGTGTGTGTGTGTGTGTGTGTGTACTGTGATCAATAACACTCTGACACTCTCCTAAGTGTGTGTCAGCGTGCACAGGTGTGACACACACACACACACAAACACACACACTCACAGACACACATAACATTAACAATATCACTGACACACACTCAGCACATATTTTATATATGTTTTTTAACTTATTAACATGAGGTCACCCACGGCTTTCAGAGGATGATCCACCCATGTATAAAGAGGTGTGTGTGCGTGTGTGTGCGTGTGTGTGCGTGTGTGTGCGTGTGTGTGCGCGTTAAGGATTTTGTGGAGGAAACAGTGACGTCTGATCATCATAATCCTCATCAGTAATGTTGTAAATATGAACGCTCTTATTGTGAAAAGCTCTTATGAAACATCAATAATAATCTAAATCTCTCTCGTGATGATGATTAAGGGAACAAAGCTCAATCATCTGATCGAACTAATAAAGTCTATTCACACACTGATTTAACGTGATTACTGCACTGTTTAGAAACATTCCACAGGTGTGGCTCAATAGGAGCAATATGTAACTCTGACCCCTAGTGTTTAAAATGGGTACTGCAGACTAAATTCTAAACATTGTAGAGCGCTGTCTCCCCCCGCCCCCTCCTCTCTAGAGTGGATGCTCACACAGGTCACCATGTGGTGAACTCTGAAGCTTCAGTGTTTATCCAGCTCTGCATCGGTCTGTAAACCTTTCTGTGTTCTAACCTCTCTCCATTTTTCAAAAGCATCTCCAATATTGATCCTAGTTTGAGCACGTTTCTGCTCGTGGAGCTTATTAGAAACATGCAGAGGCTCTTTAGGTTGGGTACAATCACTTCTATCTGACCATTGGCCAAATGAGCATCAGCGACAAAATCAGCTTGATGCTATTGTTTCCTATTTTAATGTTTTAACTGCCCACAAGCGATGCAGCACGCCGTTCATACCCAACCCCCCTGTTTCTATTTTCCTCTCTGTCGCTAACGTAGGACGAGGCAGGAGGGGGCTCTAAAAGGCCCTGGCACTCACTTTTCTCCCTCAGCAGCGCTCGTTAGCTCGTGTTACAAAGTGGAGATAACGGAGCGTTAATAATATCCGTATCCATGGTTGAAATGTTGAGCTTTGACTTGTGTCAACACCGGAGAGAAAAAGTTTCAAGCTCATCGCGAGCCGTTTATTAACAAGCCCTTTTTTTGAGTGTCGTGATTTGAGTCACCAGCTCGTCAAGACGCCTCACTTCCTTTTATCCACCTCCAACACAAAAACACTGGACGTTACTGTTTGTAAGGGGAAACTGAAATTCACGCAGTAAAGAGGACGCGATGTAAGAGCGCGGCCGAAATTTTGATGTATCGCAGTCAAATAAACTGAATCCTAAAAATGAATTATTACAGAAAACATAGTGGGGAGAGATGTGGAAAATTGGAAGCAATCTGCCGGTCTTTGTGGATGTTTTTTAATTCAATCTTTAAACTGGATTTGGATCGTGGGGACCCTTGTCGATGCAGCAGGACGGTATTTGTTGGATTATAGCGATCACAGTAAACGGTGATTCAAAAGACGTGTGTTTGCGTGTGGTCTGACAGATGCGTAGATTGTGGCTGCTGTGGTGGTTAAATCTGTTGTGTGCCTTCTGTATTGTAAATGGATATTTGTAATATTGTTGTAAAGTCACCATATATATATTTTTAAAATTATTTTATATATGTGAATTAATCTGATGGAAATTCTGGTTTACTCTCTGTTATTTAGAACAATGCTTCTCACAGACATGCATCAGTGTAGAGATGTCAGAGTGGGGCTGCTACACACTGCTATGCAGGGAGCGTTGGGGGTTCAGTGCTCGAGGACACCTCGGCAGTTCTCAGAAAGTGTCCTGGCACTTCTCAAGCTACCAGATTAACTTTCATATCACGGTCTTGAACCGGCGACCCTTCGGTTCCCAACTCAAGTCCCATACGGACTAAGGTACTGCCGCCCCAAATGCAGACTTAAGGAGGTAGTACAGGGACGGATCAAGTCCTGTCATAATATAATTTTTTATTACAAGTTAAGAAGTCAAATGGTTTATCGCTAATGATGTAAATTAATCAAAATCTGACCAATAACATTTGACTATGTAAATCCTTAGTCATGGACACCCCTAATAAATAAAGAACACAATAATCTGCCATTATTATTATCCATAATCGACCATATGACCACGCCAGAGGATGTTGAATCAATAAAGATGTCATGTTTTAAACTAGCATTAAATCCCTGTTCATGTTTTCTCACTGTGCTCTCTGGTGTATATGAAAACAGAACAGACTGTTTGAAGAGTTCCATATTTATTGAAAAGACATTTTGGATGAACAGTAACATTAACAAAGAAATTCATGGTAAGGACGAAGATGTGAAACGTTCCAGTGCTTCGTGCTGCGGGGTACGAACCGACAGCATGTTTTCCTCCGCTCCTCCGTCCAATCACAGCTCGACCTTCAGCAGCTTCTTCGCCTTCTCCATGCTCTTTTTCACTGAGGGAGAGGAGGCGTTACGTCACCGACACGTCATCACAGCATCATTAACCACATCTTTCTACTCAGGTGTGCTCCGGTACTTACAGGCATCCAGGTCTTGGGGTTCGTAGGCGTACAAGCGGTTACCATACGGACCAACAATATCAGCCCTCACGGTCATGGAGGGGTCTGAAGACACACACGGAAAGGTCAAAGGTCATACATAAAACATTTGAATATTCTCATGAGCTCTTGACTCTGGACAGGAGACATAACACGATGTTTTTTTTTTTAATAACTAATAATCAGTTTAAACCCCGTCAGTCTGTGGCCCTTTTATTATGTTTAAGCATAATACTGTAATCGCCATGTGTGGCCACATGGGGCGCTGTTCCACCAAAGTTACTGGCTTTATACGTCATTTAAACTCTGAATGAGCTCAGAAGGACGTTAAAGTTAACAACATCAAACACTGATTGAATGAACCTGCAGTGTATTTATTAGTTAAATTAAATTAATATACTTATTAATCTGCAGTGTATTTATTAGTTAAATTAAATTAATATACTTATTAATCTGCAGTGTATTTATTAGTTAAATTAAATTAATATACTTATTAATCTGCAGTGTATTTATTAGTTAAATTAAATTAATATAGTTATTAATCTGCAGTGTATTTATTAGTGAAATTAAATTAATATATTTATTAATCTGCAGTGTATTTATTAGTTAAATTAAATTAATATACTTATTAATCTGCAGTGTATTTATTAGTTAAATTAAATTAATATACTTATTAATCTGCAGTGTATTTATTAGTTAAATTAAATTAATATAGTTATTAATCTGCAGTGTAAATACTGTAACGAGAAACATACATTAAAACTGAACGTGTTATAAAGACGGTCACAGTGTGAACATGACGACAGGTCGTTACACCTGGAGGAGCCGATCTGTTTGTGTAACAGGTGATTAATAACCCGATCGTTATGAGAGCTTTTTTTTCTTACCAACAAACAGGAATCTGGGGACGTACTGTCCGTCTGGCGTCAGGTTTTTATCTGTGGTTTCGTACTGAAACAGAAAAACAAATATTTTATTCAAACCCATTTCTTGGAAATCAAAACAAAGGTAAACTCCTCTCTGCCTTCAGGTGCTCACCGTCAGACAGGTGACGTCACACCTTACCTTCACGTCGATGACAGTTGGATGTTTGTTTGACTGTTTATTTAAACTCTGCAAACAGTCGCTGAGGATGTTTCCTCCCAAACCGACTGGTTTACTCATCATTAACTGAACTCTTTTAAAGCATTATAACAATTATAATGATTTTAGTTAAAAATGAAATTATTATCATCAAACAGAAAACGTGAGTTACTCACCACCAGGTTGAGGACGATGAATTCTTCATCGAGGATCTTCTGGATCTCGAAGCTGTTGGCAATGACTTTCTTCATTGCTGCAGGAGGACACACAGGTGACAAAGGTCAGGTGAGATGGTAAACAGGTAAGGAATGTTTTCTACAAGTGAGGAGTGTTTTCTACAGGTGAGGTGTAATGTGCCCCACAGGTGAAGTGTGATCAAACATGGCACATGTGATGTCTACAGGTGAGGTATGATATCAAACAGGTGAGGTGTGATGTCTACAGGTGATATGTGATGTCTACAGGTGAGGTATGATATCAAACAGGTGAGATGTGACGTCTACAGGTGATATGTGATGTCTACAGGTGAGGTATGATATCAAACAGGTGAGATGTAATATCTACAGGTGAGATGTGATGTCTACAGGTGATATGTGATGTCTACAGGTGAGGTATGATATCAAACAGGTGAGATGTGATGTCTACAGGTGAGGTATGATATCAAACAGGCGAGGTGTGATGTCACAGACGTGAGCAGATAAAGACTCACCTTGGCTGTGAGGACAATCTTCCAGGTGAAAAACGACCAGCAGAGGTTTGTTCCTGAAATAAAAATTAAAAAAATCACAATTTAAAAATCAGATCCGTGAACACCTGAATCTAATGGACACCTGCAGGTCACACTTACCTGGACCTGGACCAGTATAGAGCCTCCTCATACGTCTGAGCCCAGATCAGCTGATCACCCCAGCCTGCAGAAACACACACACACACACACACACTCACTGTGACGCTCTGCTGTACCTTTGTATTAAATAATGAAATCATTAAATCTCAGGTGTGTCACACACCTCGAGACAGGGTCTGGGGGATCCTCCTTCCGGACTTGGGGATGTATTTTTTGTCACCGGCGGCAAAGGCGGAGGAAATGGCCCCCAGGACCAGGAGGAGGGACAGCACTGCTCTGATCATCTTTGCGGACAAACTGGAACAGGTGAAGCAGGAGGTACATGCAGGTAAAACAGAATAAACTTTGAGATTAGGAGAGAGAAAGTAGAAAAAAAAACCATCCTTGAACAGTTACAGTTAAAAAGCAGCGAGCAAACAGTACAGTGTTCTGTGAGGACACACCCTGTATCCTGTTTCTTACCTGTTCCTGGCTCAGGTGAGAGTGAAGGGAGACCACAGCTCTGAGAGATCTGCTGTACTTTCACTCTCTCCTGTCTGAATTTAAACACCTTGTCCCCGGTGGCCCCGCCCCGTGTCCCTCCCCCTCGCACTATGCCGGAATGCCACGGCAACTCTTCCTGCCTTCACCAAACCTCCCTGAGAAAATAGGTGATTTAAGGATTCGGTGTTAATTCCGACAGAAAGGTGAATTTAAAATAATGAGCGTGTATATTTCATGTTTCGACAGGATGAACTCTTTAAATCGGCACCGGTGTCAATTCACTGTGAAGCATCTTTTCAGTGTCACTTGTGTTCAAACCTTTCCGTGCCTCTTTTTGTGTTAATCTCAATTATTGATCAGCCGAATGCGTCAGAACCCTGGAGTGTGTTCAAACTTTTATTCACATGAGTCTGGCCTGTATGGGTGCTCTCCAATAAACTGCGATATCTTCATTTATCAGGATCTGTTAAGAGGATTTGGCGCTCTGCTCTCTGCACACCCGACAGAACGACTCCTATGAGGGAGAGAGCAGACATCTAGTCGCCTGCGTGTTCATCCCCGCGTTCACTCATCTTATATTTGTGATTTCACACAGTTTGGACGCTGTGATAGACGATAAATAATACTTTTTTTTAATCGGTATTTTGTGGAGCCGTGTTCATGTGTGAGAGCATGTTTGGCTCAGGTCCAAGGACAGGTCAGCATGAGAACCTGGATCGGAGGCCGGTTGATGATGATTGGTCTCTCTGTGATTGGCTCAGGACTCAAAGGTGAACCTGAATGAGTCTTACCTGCTAAGTCAACATGTTGACTCAGAGCTGAAGCTGAAGGATGTTTGAATCCACACAAAGAACTCTGTACACACACTGTGCGATGATTAATATGTATTTGAGTCCCGCGTCCCCTCGTCTTCTCCTCTTGTACTTTAACGAGTGAACAGGAGGATAAGGGTGCATGCGGAGGAGAGGATGATGAGGCGAGGAGACAAAGGGGAAGAGGGGAGCAGAGACAAAGGAGTTGAGAGGCAGAGCGGGCAAGAGGACAATGGATGAGAGTCCAAGGGAATGAGGGGACAAGAGTACGTTATGGCGTCATCTCGTCTCCTTGTCCTCTTCGTCCCTCATCATTCTCCCTTAGCCCCTGTGTTCCCTCATCCTCCTGTTGATGTGAGTGCAGGAGGATGAGAGGAGGGCATGAGGGGGCGAGCATGAGGAGATGAGGGAAAAGACGAGTAAAGGAGGATGACGGGACAAGCAGAGGAGTTGACGAGGGGACAAGGAGGCAAAAAGACGAAGAGGGTGAGGAAATGAGGCAGCAAGGGGAAGAGAGTACAGGAGGATCATCAACCCTTTCATCTCGTCGTCATGTTGACATGAGTGCATTGGGACCTTGAGTAGGAGAGGAGGAGGGGATGAGGGGGCGAAAAGGAAGAAGGGACGAGGAGATGAGGGAATAAGGCAGAGTAGTATGAGGGGGCAAGCAGGGGAGCCGCCAAGGGGACAAGGAGACTAGGGACAGGGATGAGGGGGCAACAGGACGGCGGGACAAGGTGGATAAGGAAAGGAGGCGACGAGGGGACGAGAGTACAGGAGGGGGCGAGATGATGGGGGAACAGAAAGACGAGGAAATGGGGACGTCCCCTTGTTCTCTTGTCTTCTCATCGCCTCATCCCCTTGTCCTCTTGTCCACTTGCCCCCTCATCCCCTCCTCTGGCCCCCGTGTGAGGATGAGGAGGCATGAGGAGGAGAGGATGATGGGCTGAGAGGACAAGGGGACAAGCTGGATGAGGAGGAGGGGTGGCGAGGACATGAAAGTACAGGAGGACAGGATGTGGGCGAGAGGATGAGGGGGCGAGCAGACGAAGGGCCAAGGAGCTGAGGAGATGTGACGACAGGATTACAGGAGGATGACGGGGGCAAGAGGAGAAGGGGACAAAGGGGTTGAGGGGTCGGAGTTTATCTAATGAAAACTGTACAAAGTGACAGTTTTTTGTGACTGTGTGTCTGTGGTAAGCTTTGGGTGTGTCACCGTCTGACCTCATACACACTCTTAGGTCAGAGTTCAGTTAAAGCGTTGATGTCGTTTCATTCAGTCACACTGTTAGCAACATTAGCTCTGTTAGCTTGTTCTGTTTCAGATAAAACAAACAACTCGTAGTACATTAAACAATACGTGTGTGTCTGGTAGTGTAAGTGTGTGTGTGTGTGTGTGTGTGTGTGTGTGTGTGTGTGTTGGCCTGTAAGCAGGATGTGGGACTGTTTAACGCTGAGCTGTCCTTAACCCCCACCCACTTTCCTCCAGTGAATGTTTGAAGATTCATCACAGAGAGCTGTCTCTGTGTGTGTGTGTGTGTGTGTGTGTGTGTGTGTGTGTGTGTGCTCTGTATCAATATTTGCAAATGCAGGCGGGTTAAAGGGCGCTCATTTACCTTCAGCAGCTGCCCTCAACCCCACCCTAATTACACGGATACACACACACACACACACACTCCCATTGGCTCAAAGAGGATGCTACTTCCTGTTTCAGAGTCCTGACCCTGAACACCTAAACCCACCTGGCTACACACTGGAGGATTTTCAAATGTTACGCCACAGAGAGAACTTTTAAGAATTATAATCCACACACACAAACTTTTTTTTTCTTTTAGATATACTTTATTAATCCCGCGAGGGGAAATTCAGTTTTTACACTCTGTTGTTGAACATGCGACACACACAAAGGAGGAAATACACACACATGCACAAACAGGATCCTTGAGCCGCCGACCCTCTGGTTCCCTACAGACTGAGCTTCTGCCGCCCCACATGACTAGTGGTTCTCAAGTGGTGGGTCCTGACCCAAAAGTGGGTCATGGAGCCGTTTTCAGTGGGTGTGAAATTATGTCAAAAAGTCTCTGAGGCGTTTATTAAAGATGTTTGTTTTCTTTGTTATATCAAGTTGTGTACCTATTCATGTATTTGGTTAAAGAATATCCACATTTGGGTCGTGATTTTTCATTAAGGAGTTGGTGGTGGGTCCTGAGGATTGACCAGGGGTGGACCGTGGCACTAGACGATTTGGCCACACACCTGCCGTTTGTAGTAACGATTCCACAGACACGAGATCTCGCAGAAGCGTACGTGATTAAACGAGACTTCAGAAGTTTTGCAGCGAATAACAAAAAACGGGACGAAGCACACTGAAGCACACTGGTAAATCCTGGTCAAGAAGAGGGCTTTATGTTCAAAAGCTTCCCGGTCTGCTCGCTCTCATTGGCTATTTCAGGTAATCCGAGGCAGTCCGATCTGGAATCGTAAAATTCGAGCCTCAGGAAGGCTACGACTCGATCGGGAGCGGTAAAATAATCGTGTTGACGCCACACACTTAATATTATTCAGACAAATTCTCATTTTGGACAAGCCTAGATTTAGACAATGTCTCTCCGAATTGCTGGGGCCCAAAATCATCTAGTGTAGCGTTTTATGATTGAATATGGTTTGCATTTCACTTTTGTTTATATTTCTTAAAATCAGTATATCTGCAGCTTTCTGACAACTAGTCAGGGCGGCCATAGGGATTTCCTTGTTGTTTTTTTCCTCCCACCCCCATTAATGTTGGTGTTTATCACAAGTGTGTGTTTCACGATGGTACCTGCAGTTTTCTCAGGTGTGTGAACAACTGATTTTTATTTTTAAATCTCGTGTAAGGAGAAAAATAACCCACAACATCTCTTTCTTATATTTGACATTTATTCATGACACTGTGTACAAAACAACTGAAATATGTATAAATGTGTTTCTGTATCTTACAAACAGTTCATACTGACAGGGAACTGAACGTCTTAAAGGGCCGGCGCTCTGAGAATGTTCCGGAATCAAAAAAATAAGAAATAAAAAAGAAAAACATGGAGGAGAAACGGGACGTTTTAACTAAAGTCCCAAAGAGACGCAGCTCAAAAGTTTTCACAGAAAACAAACTGACCTCAGAGCAGCTCACCTCAACACTGAATCTACAGAATATACAAACACCTGCTCATGATTGTCAGGGAACACACCTGATCAGAGCGCACACACCTGACCCCCCCCACGCGCGCGCACACACACACACACACACACACAGCTGTTATCGTAGACTGTATATAAGCCGTGGACAGAGCCTCTTTGTTTTACAGTGAAGCCTCAGACCTGCATTTTCTCTAATGTCCAGCAGAGGGCGACTCCACTGGTTGCAAAAAGAAGTCTATGATTAAATGGTCCTACTTCTCCAGTGATTTATTCCCTCAGTTAACCTTTTCCTAACGAGCCTCAGGTCTTATTCAACGCAGCATAATGTTCATTTAGTGAATTATGGTCCCATTTAGAGTTAGAGGAGGATTTAGGGCGGGCTTCTGTCCAAAGAAACTCGCCGAAATATGGTCACTTCAGGCCCTGAAACATCAAAATAAAAAACAACAACACGGCAACTGCCTCAATGTCAACCTGGAGGTTTTCAAGAAGACGTCCAAACACCAGTGGATGATGTCACTAAGGCCACGCCCACTTCACATATACAGTGTTCTGATGTTTAATCACACACTCGCACCCTCACACACACACAGTCAGTAGCAGCTGCTGTCAGATAATATTAATAATTGACAGGTGTTCCTTCTCCTCATCAGTCACCTGACAGGTTTGTTCTCCGTATAAAGTGCTTCTTATGAGTGATGAAGAGGAGCAGGTGTAACCGATGAAGAAAGAAACATCATCATCATCAGCGATCACTTCCTGTTTGACAGATCAATCATGATGATCAGACACTGTTAAAAAAAAAAAACATTGTCTCCTCCGTCAGGTGACATCACCTGTGCAATGTCATCAGTCCTCAGAGGATCCTCGCACACTGATCTCAGATGTGTCCTCAGGCTGCAGCGCCCCCAAGTGTCCTCAGGGTGCATTGCACCATAGTGTCCTCAGGGTGCAGCGCCCCCTAGTGTCCGTGCTGGGGGTGCTGGTTGTGAGCGGGGTGGTTTGGGGGAAGTGGGGGTCCGTTCACACCCGGGTGATAAAAGGCACAATTACTCTCATACCTGCA